ATAAATTCAATTAAAATATCGCATGAGCTATGGATTAATACCCTTTATTTCCCTAATATTCAGAGTGCTGACCGTTTTCGTATTGCATTCGTTGAATATCAAACCTGTCTAATCACTGGACACAATAAGCACCTTATGATGGAAATAATCATACTGATGCTATCTAAATTAACATATCCGCCTGAAATGACTAATTTTTTTTAAAAAGTAATTTTCAAAAACATCTCCAAAAGTTTTTTCAGACACAAAAATGAATAAGCAAAAAGTACGCGTGTGCATTTTGGGCGAACAATGTTTTTTGCTTTTTTGGGATTGCCATTTGTTTAGAACCTGTCTGCTTACATTGCATTTAACATTTTAACTTTCAAATGTAATTAAAGATAAATCAATATTTTATGACATAAAAGACATTCAGGAATTGAAATACATTCTCTTAAAACGTTGGTAGAAAATATTTGAATAGAATGGCTCACCCATTAAACACAAGCACAAATGTGACATGGAAAAACAGTTTTTACAATTACAAAATACAACGGATTACATGTACGAGGATTGATCAAAACGTTATTGGCCCGATGTACTTCTGGTAATCATAGAACCCAACTAATGGTCTTAACTTTTCACTATAATCGCTCTCTTCATCAAAGTTCTTTCCCAAATTGTGCTCCAACTTTAATAACCCTTCAAAATAGATCTCTCTATTTTATTCCTGAAAGAACTCATTGCCCGCCTCCATGACACCTTCATTGCTTCCAAAACATCTACCACGAAGCCTGGTTGTCATCTCAGAAACAGGTAGAAGTCAGAGGGGGCCAAGTCAGAACAATATGGGGAATGGGGAAGAATATCAAAGCCGCAGTCATTTGCAGCGGCCATCGTAACGTGGGATGTGTGAGCTGTGTCGTGCAGGAGCAGAACGCTTTGAGTCATTTTGCCCCTCCTTTAACTCGCGATTTCTTGACGCAGACGTCTCAATTCGTCTGCATAGTATGTACCGTTTATGGTACGACCTTGCTCAAGATAGTCGATCATGATTATCCCCTGTCTTTTCCAAAAAATTGAAGCCACCATCTTCTCTGCTGATGGCACCCTCTTGGATTTCTTTGGAGGGGATGAGCCTGGATCGAAGTGATGGACCCATGTTTCATCCTGAGTTACGATTCGGTAGATTATATCAGGTTAATTCTCGTAGCGAGACAAAGGATATCTTGAAATGTCAAGCCTGGTCCGTTTCTGGTCGTTAGTCAACTGTCTGGTGACCCATCTAAAACCTTCGAAAAGTCAGAATTTCTGAACTGAACAAAAGCTTATACCCACTTCCTTAGCAATGCTTCGCAGGTCTCGCCTTCTGTCGCACATGACCAGATCGTGCACAACTTCGGCAGTTTCATCGTTGTGGCCTTTTTTTACCGCCCAGGCCGCTCACTATCTCCCATGCTATCCCCGTCCCCTCTTAAATTCAGCGAAGCCCCCGGAAGCTCCTTGGTTTTCACCATTTAGAAATGTTAAATTTATGCATTTCCGTGCCCATTTGAGGTCTATAAAATTACAAATTTAAGTCAGAAGGAAAAAAATATTATCATTAATAACTTTCGATGTAATGATATGACTTCTGTTAATATGCAACGTTATATAAGGAAATACATTGTATAAACAGACTATATTGAGACATAAAAATAAAAGAATTCTGGGGCATACTGGGACTTTGAGGTAATACTTTAGGAGCGTCACTGAAAAAAAGAAAACAACAACAACAAACACAAGAAAAACGTTTTTACTGTTATATATGTACGTATTTTTCTTCTTGTGAATTTTGGCCAGTTAAAGGGATTTAGTATTTTGTATGGAAGCAAAATACTACCTTGTTTACATTTTGCTACATTTATGACAAATAATTTCACATAAAGCGCTACTTTCTTCATAAGTTACCAAAAGAATGCAATTTACACATTATTAATGCGACTTACAACCTATAACTATAAAGAGGTCAAAATATGCAAAAATAGCCTTTACTGCGTTAGTAGCATAGTAGAAATATAGTTGTTCATACTGAAAAATTCGGTCATTAATAGCACATAACATATATTTATAATTTTTACTAGAATTTTGAATCTTTTTAACTTTCCTAAAATCTTAATATTCTTTTCTCAGGTTTGATTTTATCGAAATATTTTTGGCTCATATGTAGCATGCAGCTTCAAAACTTGATCTCGATCATGTTTCTCCTTTTTAAAGGAGTATTAATATATTCATTTCTGAGGCATAATGTACCATTTTTCTCGACAGAAAAAAGCGTGGTTATAACTAGCGACGTCGTGCGATTTACCTATGATGATATTATATTATTTTTGTATGGATATGTTTATAATGACGTTGACAATGTTCAACACATATTTATTAAAGGTATTTAAATGTGTTTAACGTGAAGTGATATACAAATGCAAACGTTTAAACTAACACATAAATAAACAATGAAACTCTATAAAGTTTACCTGTTCCTGAGAACATTAGCTATTTGCTCCATGGGCGCCTCATCAGTGGCCAGCCAAAGAATTGGGCGGCGTCGCAGGTCTCCACAATTGTTTTTTTGTTAATCTCGCCACATACAGAAATTAATTCGTTCTGTATGTCGTGCGAAGAGTATATTTCGAGCGAGCATTACCGTGATCGAGGTGGCCCCGTAAAAAACGTATTATGCTTCAAATAGTTCTTTATTGATTAATACTCTTTACGTTATATTATTATTCGAACTTATTAGATCTACCTACATACTTCGAAGATCTATATTTATATTAGAATCAATGGGATAATTAGAGCTGGATTTATATAAATTTTGGAACCATGTCTTAAAACACTTCAAAACCAACCAAGCTTATACCCTTCAGTTTTCTCACCGTTTTTAGTATATTCAAATTTTCGTTTTCCTGGATCAATGTAACGCACGCACGTGCGTAGGTGCGTAACGCTAGCTACGCCCCTGGTATCGACGTAGCGTATGTAAATGTCAGTGTAGTGGCTAGAAGAGTACGGGCCGGAACTTTTTGATCATACCTCGTACATGTCATATGGCAAAATTATTGAAATTTCTTTAGATGACTTTAAAGCAACCAACATGACACACGGCAACATATCATTGCATTTGCAACGGGTGCCTTTAACACAACCAACATTTTGCATGACATCAAGTCTTTTCAACTTTATCAAAACAAAAATGTCAAAAATGTTATTGTAATTACTATTTTAGTATTAAAATAACCAAAATATTACATGACAACATATCATTACATGTGATACATGTGATGTCTTTAACACAACAAATGTGATATGCCATGTGACAACAAGTCGAAACAATACATGTCAACACATCACTGCAATTAGCATTATGTTACATGGTAACAAAATATACGACGCTTTCAATTTTTGGTCATTTTGCACAATGGATATATGATTATTTCGGACAAACGAGGTATGAGAAATATCTGAAAATTTGCATACATATCATAGGTCGCGACCTTCATTACATGGTACACAAATCTCTGAAAAAAGTATTTACAATCCATTCATACATATCGGAAAACTTCAGTGGAGTCCCTTTACCCAACCAATCTGTCACATGACTTTACATATAAGTGGCGGTATGGCAGAGTGGTTAACGCGTCGGACATGTAATCTAATGATCGCTAGCCGTATGGGTTCAAACCCCGTCAGGGGCAAGTCTTTGTTTCCTGGAGCAAGAAAATTTACTTTAATTGCTCAGTACTGGTTGGTTCCAGGAACGGATTCGAAAGTGTGTCTATAAGCTTATAGCTTCCTACACAATCGAACTAAAATAAATTCTGTATAAACCATGACTTTACATTATAACAAATACTATTGTAGCCTTTAACACAAGCAAATTGACCAATTGCAAAACACATTTTTTAGATAACTGAGGTCTTTACACATCTAAATTTTGAAATGGAAACAAATCATTTATCAAACCGGATTAATTTACATTAATTTTCAACATTTACATTTCAATTGTTATCGTTTTGTCTCTAAATTATGATTTTTACACTTTAAACTATACATTTAACACTTTGTTTGTAAAATATTTACTCAAATCTTTAAAATTTACTATAAATTATAACTAAAATTAAACTGAATTCAACTATAGAATTATTTCTTTAACAGTAAAATTTATACTATTTCTGCGAAGTGTGAAATTGTTCGCTTTAAAGTGTAAAAGTTACAGTTTAACATGTAAATTGCTTTGCATATTAAATCGATGACTTGTTATTGCCATCAGTAAAGCAAATAAGTTTCATATACATTATCTATTGTGTTATTCAGCTTATATTATTTTTCTGTAACAGTCGCAATGATGAAAAATTATAGTACTTTCAAAAACACTTAAAAGTTCCCTTAGTTACATAAACATACCAGCTAAATTGATTAAAATGATATTTTTTACTTACATATTTTCACTAGATTTAGCGCGATTCCTGGGTCATAACCATTCTACATGTTCAAGTATTACCTCAAACGAAGTAACGCTGTAAACCTCAAATGAAGTAATGCTATAACACTGACATAACACATACCAGTTAAATAACATTTTTTAAAATTATTTTCTTGTTATCATTTTTATGTTATTTTAAGTGTTATTTATTGTTGGTAAGTGACAATTTTACTGGCTATTGAAATTTAAAATTGTCATATTTTATGACAGTTTTTAAATCATGATAATTATGATAAATTCAAGAAAGTTTAAATTTCAAATCAGCTTTATACAAATACTGCACTTCCAAAAACAAACACCATACTATAAGTGAGCACACATTTATTACTATTCATAAGAATAAAAATCAATAAAAAGGGATAAACAATATGCAGGATATAATTTTTGGTTTGACCTCATCTATTTATTAAAACAAGAACTGTAAAATAAAGCATGTCTTCGCACATTGTGATCAACCCTCTTTAATATTATATATATAATAACCGATTTTCTCTGCGCACCAAGTTGTAACTACCAATGAAACGATTGGATAGTGAATTGTTGGAATGTAAGTTTGTTTCTTTTGATTTTTAGATCTCTTTTGTCTTAAAATTATGTCTTAATATGAGATACAATTGTTTGAAAATAAATTTAAAAAATGCAACTAAAAGTTTAATATATTTTAAAAAGACTTCCCTGTGATCGAAAGCAAAACACTTTTAGTATAAATCGCGTTATATTTCAAAGGCAAATTTAACAACAGATATAAAGAAAATTAAGGCAAATATTTTTTCTCTATATTCTTAATCAAAATTGTATTTGTCTCATACTTTATTTTCATCAGTTAAACTTGAAAAAACGTGACTAATGTTATATATTGTTCAAATTATATATGAGTTTTTTAAGGGATACTCGCGCAAATTAATGACAAAATTATTAAAATGATCTATTGTAATAAAATCTTGCTAAAATGACATTTTTAAAGTCCCAACATGAATGTGTGTATATAATCTATATATATTTTGGGTTTGAAGCGTAAATATATCTATATATGTTGAACGAAATTAAGACGCCGACAGAATCACCGAGTAGTTTTAAAACAAGGTGTTACATGAACAAACCCTGGATGTTACAATAACATAAATTGTGGATATTGTATGATTAAAACAAGTTAAATTCATTCATTTGACATGTTCCTTAACGTTTCCAGACTTCACTGTGACAATTATTGTCAAATCTTTACACTCTAACCTGAGCCAGGTGAACCATCATTTCATTCTTTTTAAGGAGAAAAGTGTTGTTCCTTCGAATTCCTAATGTTTTTATTTTGAGGACATTAACTGAATAATGAATGAAAAATTCAAAACAAAGAAGTTAATATATATTTTGCCTGTGTCTCCCTTTTATATCAATAAACTTTCGATGATGTTTTCAGATTATACTAGCGAATAAATTCTGATCTGACGAATATGAAATCATAACTCAAATGTAAACGATAATTCAGCTAAATAATAATAATAATAATAATAATAATATAAATAATAATAATAACAACTGAAATTATGATTATTATAATGATAATAAAAATAATAATTATCAAGAAGTAAATTTAATAGGATTTCGGAGGCTTAATGGCTTAATTAGCGCTTAAACATATGTTAGAGACAGGAATATTTAACTCGAGTTGTTTCCATCAATGCTGATGCAACATATGGCGATTGTTATTTGCGAGGATTGTTCTTTGCGTTACGCGAGTAAAACTCTCAAGTAACAGCTTTCTTAAGTAAGGCCTATGACAACTCTTCTAAATGATTGTCTCGCCCTTTTTTTGTTGTAAATGTGTAAATTTTCCTATACGCTGAAACCATGATATGCTAGAGAATTTTACTCGTAAAGGAGCCCTGTCATGTCTATGAAATGAACTCTCAGCGTTTGCATCACGTGATGTGCTTTTAGAAAAGAAAACCTTATCAAAGTTAATCTTATCATATAAGCTTCGTGTTTATTTCCAGTGTCCAAAACATCCAATACTTATTGTGCCACATATAGCCCCTTTTTAATTTTCGGGATCCCAGAAAACCTATTTCAAATGCACTCCATGTTGCATTGTTTTCATTTTCAAACTAAAAAAAACAAATCCATATCAAATGCAAATCGTTCTCCATAAAGCTTTGTTTTCATTTTCAGAGTCCGAAATATTCATATTGCACTTACAGTAACTTCAGAAGGTATATTGTTATCAAAGTACATTGATTCTGTTTTTTCATTATATATTTTTACAGCTGCTAGTAATGTACAAGTAAGAGCCTACTTTTTTAAAGATGCCAGCAGCAATAAATATACTGGTCAAATTTAGTCACTCACAACTTAACCTGTCTTTATACATGCAATGAGGAAAGTCAATAACATAGTTACAATTTTGCAAACGTTTCTGTTTTTAACATTCTATTTATAAATTCATACAAAGGTACTGTTTAATTAATTGAGTATGTCATTTTTGCTTTTCAAAATTGACAGTATATGTTGCGTAAATTGATTTAAAAGTTAAAAAAAACAACAACACACACGCAGACATTGTGTTTCTTTATTGACAGTATCTTTTTTGGTTAATCTCTTTAATTTCTATGTAAAGAACACACACAAACACGCACGCACGCAAACACGCGCGAGCACGCAATAATCTGATAGTAATATTTGATAGATGATCACGAAAAAGTACGGAAATGCAAATATTCTTTACAAACATACAAGAAATAAAAGTGTGATTGCTGAAATGCCAAAGTCTACAATATTGAATTTTAAGCAAATTCTTTCTTTTCTGCCTTGGTAACTTATCATATGATTCATTTTAGCCAATGCATTATGATAAAAAAAGGTCAAATTGCCCAAAGGAATCGTTGTACTGTAATATTTTCGTCTGAAACACAAAGTAAAAAAAGAAAATGATAAGAAAATTTTTAATTTAGAAAACAACTATCGACTTTGTAAAGCAGTTGACCCCTAGCCTGCTGGCTAGAGCCTGTAACACCAGTATACGGTCTCCTCAGACTGCACAGGTGTACCGTAGCAGTTCAATTGTTGTACATTTAAAATTTTGAAATTAAGATTCTTACTTTTTAAATTGACTCGGTGGAAATCCAATACACACATTCAGCAGGCTAAAGGTTAATCATCTAGATAATTGACAGGTATAAACAAGTAAATATGTTGTGTAGGAAGGAAGAGTATAATATAAATATAATCCCTAATTATCAACACCAGCTTAAAAACCTTGTAAAGAATACAGCAGCTGGTGTTGAATTCCTGGCTAGTCACCATATTGTTTGAATGGGAGTCGGAATTGTGGTTATTTTTTCAGTAATGCTTATAAAATACAATCGGAAAAATGAGTTCATTATCGCGTTCTGTCTATTATGTTAACGTGTAATTAAAAAATGAATATTTCCACACTAAGATAGTCTATATGGCTCCAACTCGACCGTTAAGTTAAACAATAATTTACCGCAATATGTAAGATATTAGCAATATTGTAATAGTCTTGGTGTTAAAACGAGTACCAATTAGGCTATGCACATGTTTGTTACAATAACATACATGTGACGTTTGTCAAAATTTGCATTTTATTTTAGACTTTGAGAGAATTCACTCAATTATCGCAAACATATATTGTGCACACTCTATATTGATTGAACAAGCATACACAAATTCATGAATATTGATAATAAGCATAAAAATATCTAATAACTACTTTTACGAAAGCTAAAATCTTATATGTTAACTGTCAATTTATTGTATTTGAGAACAGTTTGACTTCATGTAATATATACCGGGAAGAACTGAATATATATATAGGATTTCCATTTGTCATCTTAAAATTACAAACTGAAATCAGGGGAGAATCTCATTAACCATTCTAAAATTAGTAAAATAATCATTAACATAATATTTGAACATATACACGTCTTACTCAAGACATTTTGAAAACAAAGTTTCTAGTTAAACTTCTCGGATATTTGAGACCGACCTGTGAACCTTGCTTTCGCCCATTAGACAGTTTACAAGAGTTAACAATCTTTTAGAAATTCATTAATTCTCTAGTAAAAAGCTTATTTAACATAAGAATTAACTCTGATATAAATTGTACTTTATAAGTTCTGTCTCAAATAACAAGACCACCATAACACTCACGGTATTTGAAACTCATGTGCATGAAAATATCGACATACACCATGTAAAAGATCGCCGACATGTTCAATGTTCGTAATATTATATGATTATTGATATGTGCAATTGATTTAAATATCATGTTTCTCATACATACATATTTGCATATTAATTATTCACACATTAATGTGTACATGTGTACGTCAAGGTAAGGTACAAAACAGTTTTATTTAGACACATATCTTACAGTTTGTCCGAAATTGAACCATGTCCATTAAATGCTATGTCAATAGCAGTAAAAGTGTTTTTTCAGCAACGAATTTTGGACACATCACTGTTTGTATCAAATAACATGAGCTTTCATTTCTACTCCGAAATCAGCAAAGTATGAAATTAAAGCAAGTTTCATGAAATTTAATAAAAAGGTAATATGTTTTTGATTTATGTAGTAAAATATTTATAGAATCTAACGTTTCTCTTGTACTGCTAATATTTATTCATTTTATTCATATATTTTGTTTCTTCCGCATTTAAGAGTGCATTTAAGGATGAACATCAACATACTTATCTTGGTTTGCTTTGGATACATATTTGTTGTTGCCAACTGCGACGATGGAATAGAAGGAAACACTATAGACAACTTAAGTGATGAAGAAAAATATATAAACGATCTAGTACAAAAGGCCTTGGAGTTTGGTGTAATGGAATTTAAGAACGAAAATGCCTTAAACAGATTGAAAACGAAGGAAGGTGGGTTGTTATCAAATCATTGTATCAAATTAAAACGATTATTGTTTAGGATTTGGAAAGTTGTAAAAAAAGAAGAAAATAAAAGCGACACAGCCAAATTGCATAAAGAAATGCTATGAAAGTTTAGATCCTACACGAGTTCAAGACATCGGTGGTTCAACGCCGCTTGTATATACAATATGAATTATGTATGCCTGTGCCAATACTTGTCTCTTTGACAAGCTCCATCGACTAAGCCATACCATTGCGTATTGTCATTAAATAAAAACATAACAATATTAGAAGTGATTACAAAATGCCAACTTACATAGCGAGTATGTCAGCATTTTGTTTATTTGTTGATAATAAGTAACAAGGCGTAAAGACGAATAATCACACAGAATATAAGCATCATAAATGTACTATCATTGTGCAACTATTGCAATCTTAATTTCAAAGTAATATTAGTGAATGCATCATTTACCGTTTGGAACCAGCAACGCATATCCATTTAGAACCATCGTATGTTAGTATTTGTTTGATTGGGATAACCATAGTTTAATATTTTCCAACTTTGACAATCTTTCTGTATTTAGGAGTGGATACAAAAGCTGACTCTGCTGAAAATCAACTTTCCAAGTTTGGAGACCTTAATGAAGACAGCACGCAACTTGTCGATAACGCTAAAATTCAATTAGCAGCATTAAAGAAGCTGTTCATCACGTAATGTCTCTTTGTTAAGTGAGATCTACCATATACAAAAATCCATTATATATCAAATTATAATATATATTCCGTAAATTTTGTACCTGTTTATTTTTCTTGCTCCACGTCATCATTTCAGTTATAAACTTCCTATTCATTAAAACAGATTAATCTCTCTTACTTAAAGACTTATCCCTTCAATTAAAAACGAAACTAATCATTCTATTAAATAATAATCATTTTTTTGGTAAGACAGGATACTTCAACATAATGTGTTTATTTTATTCAGGGGACACATTAAACCGAACCAAATAAAGGCAAAAGGATTATACCTACAAATATGGAAGAAATGGTTGCAACATTATTGCCAAGAAAATAATACTGTATGTATAATAATAACAGACACACTAAACTAGTATAATATGCATGTGCGTTAATAGCATTTTATGATTAAATTCACCTATGCGTAAAATGTAAGAAATTCATCTTTTAAACAACAACAACAACAACAACAACCAGATCACCACCACCACCAACAACAACAACAACACGTTTTCATTTTAACGGTATTTAATTATGATGGCAGTTCATGCATATTTGCCTGATGTATTAAACAATCACATCACAAATGTACTAGTAAAATAATTATATATTTAATATATACAACTACATCGTAGATATAGACTATGCTCATCTTTGAATAAATTTTTTTTTTCGCGAAAATATATTTTAATCTAGCAATTGTTTTACTGGATATGTTAACATTTGAATAAGAGACTGCAAAATAAATATGTTGGGAATGCGCATTCCCTATAACTGGTTATTTAAAGTAAAGTCCTTTTTTTAGTAAGTTAGTTGTACATAAATGACACTTTGTATTTGTATTCTGTATACCTATAGAGTGTAGAAATCAACACTTGAAGTATCTTGTCCATGTACGTAAAATATGTTTATTTTACATTTAAGAAAGACCGTATGGCAATTACCAGAAATTTCAAATATCAAATAAGGCAAAATATAAATATATCTATAAGACAGTTTTGAAAGTAAGATCTTAACGAATACTGGATGTCAGTAATTTGAATATCAGGAGTTTAATATTACAAATTATTTGACACGAATCCTTCCTGTTATCAAAACTATATTGCATGCGATGCTTACACGTTTTTCTTTATTTAAGAAACAAATCTGCGATCCAAACGCATATTATAGGACTATAGATGGGACTTGTAACAATCTAGAGGAACCGACCTGGGGAGCTGTAATGTGCCCTCAGTCAAGGGAAATACCGCCTATGTATTCTGATGGTTTGCTGAGATTTTTATCTATCTTTCTTAACAGAAATTTACATATTATTAAACTCGTGAACTCGTGTGTGTGTTTAATTATAATTCAATCAAACAATAATCGTTTTACACGGTCAGAGAACATTTGGACTTTAGAATTAGAAAACAATATTAAAATCAGTATGAAACATTAATGTAAAGAAGTGTTCAATCCATAATTTTATCATATACTTGAAATTCAAGATCTAATAATATTAAAAACCGAATCAAAATATCTTTTTTTATAAACGAGATGAACTGGCAAAACGATAATTTATAATTTATATTACTTTTAATGTATCAGGATCTAAAGAATGATTTGGTTTGGGGGCTAATATTCTGAAATATTGTATTTAGCGGTTAGTTAAATGTTTGGTTTTTGTAGGTATTGACGCCCCAAGACGTTTTGGAGTATCAGGCGAAGAGCTGCCAAGTGCACGTGTCATCAGTAACGAACTACATAAAGCAGACGGACAATCGCCAAGAAATGATAAACTGACCATGATGGTAATGCAGTGGGGTCAGTTCATCGACCATGACATTGTTTCAACACCAGTAATGAAAGGTATACTTAAAAAAGCCACAATATTCGAGAAGTGAATCATTTCAAAGTTTTAATTAATTAAACTAAGCATGTCATTTATAGACAGGTTTTGATAAAACAAAAATCAAACAGGGCGCCCTTGTACATGTACTTAGCAAGCGATAAATAAATAACTTATCACTGTGAACGTGTATTTTGGTTGCTTATATAGGCTTTTACGCAATAGGGATTGTACATTTTTTTGTTAAGAAATAGAAATTATATACATAAACTCTGATAATTCAAAATAACATTTAACGCCTGTCATTACTTACGATTGTCTTGTGTTCTATATTTTACACGTTGCTGCATATATTGTTTCATTATATCTAACATGTCATTATCCTAAAGTTTAAACAAGTATCATTTTTTTCAGGATGACGTGAACAATAATAAAAAAAGATAATAATCATTATAATGACTGTCCTTGCGGGCTTTATTGTCATTGTATTTCATTGAACAGCTTCATTTATTGCTTTAGCCGCTGATTAGTTGCATTCACCAAACCTATAAAATTATGCGAAAATAGATGACTCTGACAGTTTAAGTAAATTGTACTGGCACACGTATTGTTCCTTTACAAATCTTATATTGAAATACAGACCGATATTTAAAAAAATACATCCGATTTTAATTATCTAATTATCGTACAAATAGCATAACAGTGACATCCTAGTCAGTCACAAACATTGAACAGACAAGACATAAGTCTTTGTCTTAGTTCCATAACAACAGCACACTGATCAGCCAAACATATACATAAAGACCATCTATGACGTGTTCACGTCGTATTTATTAGATTGATAGCGTAGGCAAAAACTTAATTCTATTTGTAAACATATATAATTAGTAACATATTGTTAAACATTTTTAAAACAGGCGCAATGGGAGCTAATATTGAATGTTGTGGTGAAGGAAACGAAAATAGGTTAGTTCCCCTTAGTTTTACTTGTCCATGGTCCGTTATTCTTTAGAAATGCCATTATTTCAATTTCTAAAAAGACTTTATTTTTTGGTACCCTGTTATGAATTTCAAAAAATGCATATTGGCCAATGACCTGAACCATCTTTTGCTTAGGTTGCTTTTTTGGCAATTAGTACAGATGTATTGATTAAGTATTTTATATAGAAGTCAAAATACTACTTTATTTTCATTTTGATCCATTTATGACAAATACATTTACTTTTACTTTCAACTTCATATTTTCATGCATGTGATAAGCATCTAACTAATTCTAAACCCATTATTTAGACGTTTTATGCCCTTTCTAAGGAAGGAAAAATATTAGACTCTCAGGCATAATGTGCCTTTAATGTATTTTTAATATACATGTATATCTTGCAACGATTAATACAGGTTTATTGTAAAAAATGCATACATATGCAATTAATTTAACATTATTGAGTATATGATTGGTAATGTAATTTATGCCAAAATATGATGGTGTCATTTTAAATAATGCTTCCAAGGGCGAAGACGTTTAGAACGAACATTTGACGTTCATTATATATTTTAACTGTAATAGCAGGAAATGAACGCTATTTTACATACATAGCATCAAACATGAACTATCGCAGTATTTCCATGTATTTAAAACAGGACAGAGTGCTTTTCCATCCGTATACCGGCTGACGATCCATTCTTTAGTAGGACTTGCATGGGTTTGGTGCGATCAGCTCCAGCGCCAGAACATAATTGTGAACCTGGTATGTAATATTGAAAAAAAAACAACAATGATGCTTATATCTTCAAGACATTTAGCACAAATTTAAAAATGCATGATTTGACATTGCTCCAAAAGATTTGAACTCCTATGTGAAATATTTAGCTGAAAATAAATGAATTTTTCTTGAAACAGAGAGTAACGATACATTATAATATTTATCATAGGAGTAAATAGATAATGTTGGATTTCATTTGAGACGGGTTGGGGAAGAAAATGACTCATGCAGACTAGGGCAAATAGGGAAATTTAATAATTGTATTTAAAGTTACTTTTCAACGATTAACATAATATGTGTTATACTTACGCTTAGGCAATATAAATTATAAGACTATAATAGTTTTTCCATATACAAGTGTTTTACCCCACTTATTGGTATGATAACTTATAGTATTAAGAAAGATTTGAATCATTGTTTCGGCGCCCTAAACCTGGTTATCAAGTTACATAGCATCAGGGACTCCACTTATGTTTATAGACATGATGAGGCTGGTGATAATTTTGCAAGATTAATATTCCATTTAATATAGTTCTAGACTAAGAAATTGTGTCTAAAGTTTCAAATCATAAGCTCGCTCCGTAATTTCAAGTCAGAATAATTATTATAATTATGAAAACTGGCCCAAAATTGAAAAACTTTTCACTTAAATCGGGCTAAGAATAGCACAAAAATACTACATGTATTTTCAATTTATTTCTTTGTATATTTCCTAATTGTCTTTGCATATGTTTTAAATGTCCCAGTTGATCTATTTGAGAATTTCAAATTTAATATCTTTAGACTTTTAGAGACCTCAGTCCAGTTCCTTTAAACGGTACATAAAAAAAAATTAGATAATGAGCCTTCTTCTATGTTTTTATTCCATATTGACAGAGGCAAGAGTAAACAGCTTAATGAAATATAATTCTCCACAATAAAATTCTTGTTCTGCCGCTTTTATTTACTTTTTCCTTTTTAAGGATCACGGGAACAAATGAACCAAGTGACGTCATATATAGATGCATCGGCGATTTATGGTTCAACTGAAAACCAAACAATTTCATTGCGAGCATTCAAAGGAGGTAAGCATGTACTTTAAACTTAGAAGTTTATTACTAGAAGTTATAAATAGTGAAAGAAAATAAGAACAACAACAATCCTAAATAATAATAGAAATAATAATAATAATAATAATAAAAATAAAATAAAAAATAATAATAATAATAATAATAATAATAATAATATAATATGATAATAATGATGATGATGATGATAATAATAATAATAATAATAATAATAATAATAATAATAATAATAATAATAATAATAATAATAATTATAATAATGATAATGATAATGATATAATAATGATGATAAATATGATGATGATGATGATAATGATAATAATGATAATAATGATAATGTTAATGATAATAATAATAATAATAATAATAATAATAATAATAATAATAATAATAATAATAATAATAATAATAATAATAATAATATAATAATAATAATAATAATAATAATGATAATGATAATAATAATAATAATAATAATAATAATAATAATAATAATAATAATAATAATAACAACAAAAACAGTGACCGTAACAAAAGAAATACTCCTTGCTCACGTCTGGCAATTTGCCCATGTCCAGAGTTTGTTCTAGTACATGTACTAAATTATATTAAGTTCGGTAAATAACTATCCAGTATATATAAGGAGAGCCCGGGGCTCTACTTGAGCGGATGCTCATACATTTAAGGATGAAAAGCTTTAACCGGCGAAATGTACTACAAATTATACAAATAAATAGTGACATGTAGGTATAAATAGATAATGTTGTTTGTGCAAAACTTTCTCCGCTTCTTGAAATACAGTATAGTCTGATTTTGGTTTATACAGAATTTATTTTAGTTCGATTGTGTAGGAGGCTATAAGCTTATAGACACACTTTCGAATCCGTTCCTTGAACCAACCAACCAATACTGAGCAATAGGTGTAAAGTTTCTAGCTCAAGAAAACAACGACTTGCCCCTGACGGGGTTTGAACCCATGCGGCTAGCGATCATTAGATTACTAGTCCGACGCGTTAACCACTCGGCCATGCCGCCACTGAGTCTGATTTTATTGACCTCTCAATTATGAATACATTATAGCACCCATATAAATATTCGATCCCACTTCGGTTCAGTCCGTGTAGTTTACGAGAAATAATATGGTGTACATGTATCACTAAGGTTTAGAATGTAACACCCCGCATAAAATAAAGTTGCAGTTACATCGCAAGAGCACAATTGGTTAAGTGACTGCCTGATATGTGAGAGGTCTGTGGTTCGATCCCTATTGTTGCCATTGTTTTAGACCTACTCTTTCTTTATTTTTGCAGCATACTAATATGGAAATTGCCGAGTGTACACGGATATAATGCAGCAAAGAAAAAACTGTTTTGTCTCTATTTGTATTGTGTTTAACGGCATTGAAATGACATCTATTGATTTTAATCCGAATAAATTGATAAGCCATGTATTTGAATAGAGTAAAGACTTTATACTAAAATAAGAGCCGAACATATTTAAACAAAACGAACAACATAAAAAACAATAATTTATTATTATAAATAAGAAAAAAATGGACCTACGCAGTCTACATCAGGGCACTAACATTATAAAACCCGTAGTTTACTCTATTGTGCTATAAAACTCTGTAAAATTACATTGTTCTTGACAAACACAAACTAAATTAAATCATATATTACAACGAACATCTCACCGAACTTAACGAAAAACTATCGAAGATTAATATATTGTGTACATTGACCGTATAATCAGTTAGCATTTGACAGGTTAATAAACTCAAACAATAATGCTACACAAAATTTCTTCCGTACAAAAAATTAAAATTAAAAGAAAGTTTTCATAAAAATTAATGTAATTTCTTTGTTTGTGTTGAAATAGATAGTCTTTAAGATAATATTCGAAAGTATTTTTTCACACAGATACCAAAAACTGTCGTTTTTAATCTTTTTTATATTTGAACTGCGTTTATCGAAATATCTGAATACAATTACTGTAGTCTAGTGTTAAAATATTATTTGTTTAAATCATTCCACCACTGTCGCTCCGCTACCCTTCGCTAGCTCTTCAAAGCGAAGAGTTACGGATTTGATTTTAATGAGATTGCGTTTAAACATAAACAATTATCAAACAAATCATACGAGATAAAATTGTTAGTATTGGTTCAATGATTGTCAATGAATTCCTGTGTTGTTATGATTGCTAGCGTAATTGATACAACATAAATCAAGTTTTGATAATGGTATCGTCCAACAATATTGACCTGGCACTTCATTTAACTTTCGTACAAGTCATTGGATAATCAGTGGTATCTAACGAATATATCTTTAAACTTCACATGTCAGCGAGGTGTGGTGTATTTATTGGTATAGATAACGGACTAGTGATCCATACCTAACCAACACCAAGTCATCAAAATACGAGTTTTTTTAATTTTATTTTGGAATTTATTTTACAAGAATTAATTTGAACTCGTTTTACTACATCTGGTTGAAGAATACCTTTAATTTGTGGGTTTTTTTGTACAGTTAGATGTTTTATTTCATTAAAAATCTTTAATAAAAAGTACAGCGCGTTAATAATACACATTAGAAATACTACACAGATTAAATACACACACAAAAATCAAAACAGTTTGCTCTATATTTCAAAGAGATTGCAATTTTAACGTTACAAAAAGTAAATAAATAAAAAAAAATAGATAAAAAATGAAAGTGGCTGAACCAGGATTCGAACCTACCTGTTTACGTCTTTATTCTTGATGCGCAATACATTAAGTTTACAGACAACGCTGATGGGGATTCTTAACAAACTGGTTATATACATTCATACCGATTTACATTTTAGTAGATGGTACGTTTACGGAATTTAACGGCTGTAGGATCAAATGAAAGAGTGTCAGGAATGGTTTATCGTAACTAAACCGAACACCCCCCCTCCCCCTGTTTTATTCACTTTGTGAGAGATATGTCTGCAAATTTAGAACATTTTTGCAAGTAAACATAGATTTTAAGTACCGTAAATGGTATCAGGTACTCACATAATGACATTTTTTTCACTCGGTAACATTTTAGCTGTATAAATACGGTCTAAATTTTCAGGACGAGCTGTGTTATAATCTTGTAAATTTTACTTTATCATGCCCCCGAAGGATGGCATATTAACATCGAACCGCCAGTCTGTCTGTCTGTCTGTCTGTCACTCAGTCTGACAGTCTGTCCGTCCGGCTTTATACATCTAGACAGTGGTGGTCTTTTCCGCTCTGAAACTTCAGTATGCATAAAAGGATTTTAATTGTTCTTCATATATGAAATAACCATAGATGTATAGTGTGTCGCGAACAAAATTCGGGTTCCTACGACTAAGGTAAAGGTCACTGTGGAGGTTGAAACTTTGTCATTTTTTATGTTATATAAATATAGAAGGTGGTGGTCGTGTCCGCTCTGAAACTTCAGTATGCATGAAAGGATTTTAATTTTTCTTCATATATGAAATAACCATAGATGTATAGTGTGTCGCGAACAAGACTCGGGGGTTCCAACGACTAAGGTCAATGTAACTGGGGGGTTCAAACTCTGTCATTTTTTTATGTTTTTAAAATATAGAAGGTGTTGGTTGTGTCCGCTCTGAAACTTCGGTATTCATGAAAGGATTTTAATTTTTCTTTCACATATGAAATAACCATAGATGTATGGAGTGTCGCGAACAAGACTCTGGTTCCTACGACTAAGGCCAAGGTCACTGTGGGGTTGAAACTTTGTCATTTTTATGTTATATAAATATAGAAGGTGGTGGTCGTGTCCGCTCTGAAACTTCAGTATGCATGGGAGGATTGTAATTTTTCTTTCACATATGAAATAACCATAGATGTATGGTGTGTCGCGAACAAACTTCGGGTTTCTACCACTAAGGTCAAGGTCACTGTGATGGTACAAACTTTGTCAATTTGGATGTTAATATACATATAGGCAGAGATGGTCGTGCCTGCTCTGAAACTAATATGCATGAAAGGATTATATTTTTTTATTTCACATATGAAATTATCATAAATGTATGATGTGTTGCCCTTAAGACCCGTGTTCCTTCGCCTTAGTTCAAGGTCACTGCTGGGGTTTAAACTTTTTAATATTTATGTTATATACATATAAATGGTGGTTGTTGTGTCCGCTCTGTCACTTCCATATACATGAAAGTTTAAATTTCTATTTAAAAATATAATGTCACCATAGGTGGACTATGTGTTGTGAACAAGACCCACGTTTCTTTGTCTAGCTTAAAGATCACTGCTGGGGTTCGAACTTTGTCAATTTTTACCACACGCTTAACATGTAATAGGTGTTTATAACTAGAATCCTTCGGGGGCATTTGTCACGTTCTGTGACAGCTCTTGTTTTTGATTATAACAACTATTGCGCATATGATATCAAATTAAACGTAATATAATAATGCATATTCTTATTTCGGTTTTCTTATTTATTTCCCTGTACACCTGAATATTTTTATCAAACTATTGTTATCATTATTTACATCAACGTGTCAAACATAAATTGTTACTTAGATTTAATTTAATTTACAGTTGCTTTAAGGTTAATATAAAAGCACGGGTAATGATAAAGTTGATAATTTTAACAATATCAAGGAATATAAGAGTCCTTAGGAAATAAGTATATGCATCAGATCTTTTGTAACAGACGCAAAACAAACAAGATGGCGACAATGATAAGATGGGTTCTGCACATTGCCCAGTTGGGGTGAACATTTGAGTCAAGTTCGAAGAAAATCCATCCATTAGTATAGAATTTATAGAGCTGTCACGACATACTGTCTAGTATTGATTGTATGTAAATTTAAAGACTTAAAAAGGGGCATTACTTTGTCAAAATGCAATACAGAGTTATGAAACTTGACCTGCATATCTTACTTGCGACACTTTGTATATATTTGATGTTTCAAATGATTATCTGTTCTAGTTTTAGAAATATTCAAGTACATGTTAAAATTTCAGAACATTTTCTAAGACAATTTTTGACCTTCAAGTCTGACCTTGACCTTAGGCCGGCACAAACGTAACATAGATTCTGCTCATAACATGGTTGAGGTGAACATTTGAGTAAAGTTTGAAGAAAATTCTTCCATTAGTATAGGATTTATAGAGCGGACACAACATATTGTCTAAAATTTGACTGTATGTAAATTTGAAGACTTAAAAAGGAGCATGACTTTGTCAAAATGCAATACCGGGTTATGAAACTTGACCTGCATATCTTAATTGTGACACTTCATATATATTTTAAGTTTAAAGCAAATACCTTTTCTAGTTTCAGAATTATTTAAATACCTGTTTAAATATAAGAATATTTTCTAAGTCAATGTTTGACCTTCAAGTGTGACCTTAAGCCGGCAAAAGGGTAACATTGGTTCTGCACATAACCTTGTGAAGGTGAACATTTGAGCCAAGATATTGCGACCTGGACCTGGACCTTGAGCTGACACATGGGCAACATTGTTGAGGTGAACATTTGAGCCAAGTTTGAAGAAAATCCTTCAATTGGTATATGATATATAGAAGCGGACACAATAATGGAGACGGACGGATGGACCGACGGACCGACCGACTGACCGACCGACCGACGCGACAAAGCGAATCCATTATAGCCCCCTCCCACATTTTGTGGTGGGGTTATAATAATAGACATTAAATATGTTTATATTTTAGTCGTGCTGTTAGTGAATAATGAAAATTAATATGTACTTGCTAAAATTTAGTACTATATGATCCAGACTTACCCGGAATTTGTTTATAATTCTGATAAATTTCATGTTTTCTTCATTTATTTCATACTTGAAGTTCATGATGTTTCATCTATATAATTTCAAAATAGTATTGATTTAATGGTATGTGTAACAGTTGAGAAAAATGTGCAGGTCTCAGGCCGCCTAACATAACCAATAGAAAGGCCACTGATGAGCAGCTTAAAGAACGTGATCTGCGTTGAAATTTGAAATCTATAGTGATAAAGTAATGGATTTTGTCACTAAGTTTATTCCGGGTATTTCTGGATCACCCTCATGTATTTAAATCTGAATAGGATTACTGAAGTTTTACGAAGATAATGAAAAGCGAAGTGAACAACTACCACCAGCTCCTAGTGATAAGTGTACTATCGAGGCTCCAGAGGATCACTGTACTATGGCAGGTAATGTGATTCGATATATACGTAAATGACTATCCATGTATATAGGAGAATGAATCTTAGTTTTCTGGAAATGAAAGCCTATAGAGGGTATGAGATGAAAAATATACACTATATCTACGAGATTAATCCTGATTTGATCATTTTCATAGTAATAGCAAAACTAACTGTCTTATATTTGTCGATTCTTTTCATAAAACAATTTGTTCTTTAAATCGGTTAATTTTTAAGCTTACGCTTAAACTTGGTATTTTAAAACGTAAAATACATACACTCTTCATGCAAAACTTAAAGAAACATTTCTATAGTTCACTGGGTGAACATGAATGATTGTGATGATATCGTTATAGAATAATGCAAAAAAATCCGGAATGTCTCTCACAAATATAAATAAATTTATTTTAAAGATGAAAGTAAGTTGTTGAGTAAGAAAACATGACTTATGTAATGAACGATAGATTCAATATTGAGTTGATAATAAAAGCTAATATCACAATATAATGTTGATGCGCTAAAACTGTCCGTGTTGATTATGAAAGAAATTAGTAGCCATTTTTGTTAATCTTTGTCTGTATCAACAAAAATATTTATATTGTTATATATTGAAACTTTACTTAATATAAATCGTATTCAAACAAAAACAAATGCGGACAATTATCTATATAATATTCTCCTAGCACCAAAAGTTCACATGTGTTTGATTTTATTACATTTTAAGTTAACGTATGGCATTTCGAGAACGTAATCCATTGCATCTGTGCGGTTTCTGTAATCGTGCTGTTGAACTTAGGCATTGCAATGTCATGTTCTCGCTCGACTCTTATCAACGAACAGGGCAATACAATTGAAGACATTTGGTTATTCTGCTCTTTTTCCGGCATTTTAACAGATGTTCTTATCAAGTTAACTTAATATCATAGTCGTTTATTATATTATAAATATATTCGCGTATGATGTAAAGAGTGAATCTTTATATATATTTGCCGTTTTGTATTTTCATGGCTGTTTCTTGTAGGAGATAAACGTGTGAACGTAGTACCAAGTCTTGGCTGGAGTCACACATGCTTTATGAGAGAACATAACCGAATTGCACAAGAACTTGGTCGTATAAACCCTGACTGGGATGACGAGACGATATTCCAACAAACCAGGCGCATAATGGCGGCAATAATACAGGTATATTTTATATTTCTACTGATACATATATCAGATGTAGGTAAGGTCATTTCTGATCATATTGTGCGGATACATTGAATTTTTTTCTTAGTTTCTCATGAAAATGATTCATCATATTCAATATTATCATCATAAACATCGTTGTCCTAACTATAATTTTTATTGCGTTTAGATAATAAACTACAAAGAATACCTTCCTGCAATATTAAACAAAGATACCATGGACAAGTATAAGCTTAATCTGTTTGAAACGACGGACCATTCTGATCTTTACAGAGCAGATGTTAATCCGTCAATCATTAACGCTTTTGCTGCAGCAGCGTTTAGGTGAGTATATAAATCATAAAATCTGACGTTTTAGTTGAATAATAGGACAAAACAAATATCTCGAAGTAGATAGCGTTTAGCAATAACTTCACATACATGCCATTCGCATTATCATTTACAAACATGGTTGATTCATTTCAATTAGTCTACATTGTTTTAATAGTTCTAATAACGTAGATAAAAACATTATTATACCGATTGAAAATAGGCTAACTCCTTTCAGAAAGTAAATGAATGAAATATTTGTAACAGGTTCGGACACTCACAAATAGCAGACTATCAGGCTTTAATGAGCAAGCAATATCAATTTACCAAGAAGAAACCGATAGAAACAACATATCATCGGCCACACATGATTCAGGTTGACGGTGCTGCAGGGCTTGATGGGATCGCTAGATGGCTCGTAGATGATCCAACACCTCTTGCTGACGGGTATTTTTTTATCATTTTATCTTTCTTCTGCTGATCAAAACCGAGAACGGTGACCCCAGTTATTTTTTCGCTTAAAATGTTTCTGTTATCATATTCAGTCTAACAACATGCCAAGTTTAAAGAAATTCTATTGAACAGTTTTAATTTTGCCTATATGTCTATATGAAAACTCCCGAAAACGTCTTTAATGTTAGAAGATATACATATATATGTCAATATATTGCAATGGTATTACATGAAGCGATATTTCCTGACATAATGTTCCAGTCGGATTCCTTTTCTTAAGGCTCACAGTGTTTGAACTACAGTAAAATCTGAATGAGCAGTTACATCTGAATCGCATACAATCTGTCAATAACAGTCAGCTCAAGTCCGCCCGTACATTTTCCTTCTTTAATTACCTTGTTTATAAACACTATATATGATAGAAGCCGATAAATTTTCTCCATATCTTCCTGCCAATGAGCGCGCAAACATACTTCTAAAATATGTTTGCGTCAAATCATAATCAGACTATCATTTTGAAGATTTCGTCGAGTGTTGATGAATTGACATGCTGCTGGCCTGAAATATAAGATTGTGTGTTATATATCATAATAGCATACATTAAAGTGTGGTTTTCATGTTAACAAGAGCTTCCTTAAAAATATACATGTATATAAAGTAGAATAACAACAAAGTTTGAAATCTAAATGAAAGTTAAAACAAACTTAGCACAAAAATGAATTCTATGCATCGTAAATTGAAACCTTTGTATCATTGTTACAGATTGATTAAGCTTAAAGACTTCAAATTATAAAACGGAATAACAATTATTCATGTATTAACCCAAAATTAAGTAGTGTAATTAACATTAAAAGTAATATTCATACAGATACAAAAACAAAACAAACAAAGAAATAATAATAATTTTGTTTTCATTTATATTTTTTTGATGCCCAAGAGGTAGCTCCGTTTATTTCCCCCGTAATAGGTAAAATAGGGTCGGGGATCCATCCACTATTTTCACCTTACATTTTATTGCAATGTTTTGAAAAAACATAAGGGCATTTATATCATACATAATTTTATAATATATACAATACATAGAAGATAAAGGTTCTCTTGGGATTCAGAGTATTTCATTTCCACAAAAACTGGATATAGTATAATATAATCAAACTGTTATATATAAGTATTTAATTTAAAAAAAATGTACTACCTATTTGCTATCATATCAACTAATGAGTACATAGAATTTTTAACTTTTATATAACTAACTATTGAAGATGATAGCTTTAAACTTGAGACGAGGCCTTGTATTGATGGTATTGTCTCCATCCTGTTGCACAAGAATATGTATCTTTTTAATTCTAGACAAAAAATATCAAATTGACATTGGTCTTTTTGATACCCTAAAATGAATGTCTTACAATCAACCCTTCAATCAACATTATGTTTTTTTAACAGTTGTTGCACATCTAAAATTAAAGTTTTTATAACAGAACAATTCTAGAATAAAGGAGATAATGTCTCTTTTTCTTCTTTGCAAAAAGTGCATTAATCAGATTGTGTCAATTTAATTTTAAATATTTAATGCATGTACTATTAAACAATAATAATAATAATAATAATAATAATAATAATAATAATAATAATAATAATAATGATATATTAATAATAATAATAACAGTAAATTGAACGCTTTAAAGAAGCATTTTAAACGTTTTGATTAAGTACTTAAATATAGTAAAAAAGATTTCTAGAAATACACAGCACAGTCACATTTTCATTGGTGCTTGTTTATTTTATTCACACAGCATTTTTGGAGACGGGGTAAGAAATCTTTTATTCAAGGACAAAAAAGGAAAAAGTCTAGACCTGCCGGCACTTAATATACAACGTGGTCGAGATCATGGATTACCAGGATACAATCAGTGGAGAATACATTGTAACCTTGGTAAGATATGTTATATTTCTTTGCACAAGAATCACAATATATTTCTTATGTGACAAAATGATCTGTTGTAATTTTACTGACCAATTCTATGGCCCAATACTACACGTTTGTAATTTCGCTTTTCATTTAAATTTATGCCGTTTACATAAATTATATCAACGAGTGCTGTTAAATTTTAAAGTTTTTTGAACGGAACGCTGGCTATGTCGTAAATACGTAATACAGATTATTTGCAAAATGACACTCTCTTAGAAATTCGGGATATATCATGCAATTGTTTATACAGGAGCATATAACTTGTCAGACTTTTATTCACTAATGATATTAACTCCATTCAGTTTTTGTTATATTTGTAAATAGTATGTTATAATGACGATACTGTTTTATTGCAGTTAAAGCTGATATGACAAATGATGGATCGTTTATATTACCTGATCATAACGAGAAACAAAAAATCAAGATACAGAATGTCTATAGGTAAATATATGACATCACACAGCAAGTTTAGTATATTCTCCTTTGTACATTTAAGCCAAGCCACCCATAGGTACATTGAAAGCTACTATATCATTTCTCCAACAAATAAAAAAATGGTATAAGAAAAAGCACTATGTCACATCAGAGACAGATCATTAAATATCTAAAAATAATTGTTAAACCTGCGACCAGATTGTGCAGTTATCGCAGCTGCATGAGTACCATTTGTTTCCATTGCAATTTAATCAGTATAGTTCTTATATAGGATAAAACGTTCAAATCTCGAACACCTTACCAGTGCCTTTGTATTATGAAACAAATCAAAATTTGATCTCTAATTACAATTATGCTAGCGTTAAATGTCTGATGTAAAATTGCTTGAACTCCACTTGAACACCATAATATATCAAAATGCAGAAGCTATTTTTTTAATAAAAACCCATTCCTCATAAAGTGTCGATACTTTTATGTCAATACTAAACAAGTATATTTCACGTGTCTGAAAAATGCTGCCGCATTTGTTCTTTTACAGTCACGTCGATGACATAGATTTGTTCGCCGGCGCAATGACAGAAACTTTACTGCCTGACAGCTCCGTAGGACCAACATTTGCTTGTTTGTTAGGGAAACAATTTAAAAAGTTGAGAATAGGTGACCGTTATTGGCACGAGACAAACAATCCAATCATAAGGTTTACCAATGGTACGTTTTCCAACAAGTTAACTTTGTACACTTCATAAGACTTGTTAATTATAGGTTTATTTCCTGTCACAAAATTTGCTTTCATTATAATGGATATGTTAAAGGAAGAAAAATACAAATATGTATATTATGATCTTAGTTATTTGGATGCTCATTTTATGACTAAATGTTATAAAAAGCAAGAACTTTTTATAGATATCCAATGAATTGAGTATTTGTATGTCAGTCTCAATTTTAGATATGGTTTATACATTTATTATTCAGATCAGCTCACTGAGCTTCGTAAGGTATCATTTGCCCGAGTACTTTGTGATAACTTTGACTTTAGCCAAATCCAACCTGATGTGTTCCATGTGCCCGGAACGTGAGTGCAGCTGTATTTATTGAATCTTTAATTTTCCATCTAGACATCTTCTTTTACCTAATTTATTTATGCTTGAAACCGTAAAGCAACGTACTTATCTCCCGATAGTAAATGAAGAAGAAAAGATTCAAGTGAACTAGACTAGTTGTAGTTAATGCTATAAATAACGACAAATATCAAATTGTTTTTGAACTAAGAATGTCATCATATCAAAGCTTGGCTTGACCTACCCTTAACCCTAAAAAAAGATTTTTAACCTCAGTGAAGCTCTATTAAATGAGTATTGTATTGATATAGCATATCGTTCATATTTTTGTGTTTTCTTTTAGAGAAAATGAAAGAGTGGACTGTGGTCAGATTCCAGGGATGAACTTAGGAAAATGGGCCTCGTCCCAGTTTCTTTCCGATGGCCGGCCAAATTTTACAGTTTCCTCAAGGAAAAAGCGTAATCAGCAGTGGGTGCGTGAAGAACGGAGAAAGCGTGAAGATAGACGTGATCGAGATTAATTGATGTTATGTTAGCAAACTAATAAAACGTGAAAGTAACGATTACTGTATTTAATTTGTGTTGTTTTTTTCCATTAAAATCCATATTTTCAAATTCTTTACAAATGTCAAATATGTAGTGTATTTGGAACGAGTTAGATGTTTAACACCTGAAGGAAATAGCACTGAATGTGCAGTAAATGAGTCGTTTAGGTGGCACAAATCAAGCTAAGAAGTATTTTGACTTCCATACAAAATTCTAATTCACTATAATTATAGCAAATGCTAACAGAACAACTGAAGCAAAAGGTAGTTCATATATATGGCAAATGAGTAGAATTTTGTAACAAGATACCAAACTAAATGTTTAATTGAACGCATGACTGAGACATAACTGACACTTAAGAAACAAAACAACGACTAACACCAGCCTCAATATTATCAAAAGCTTAGTCATATAAAAAGATATTACAAAACAAAACAAGAGCTTTTACCCAAGGTTGAAATGTCAGAAATAAACATAAACAAGGTAGTGTGAGTGACAGATATATCCCATTCCGAAACGGACGTGAAAATAATAATGTTACCCTGGACTGACCTTGTCTTTGAAGGTTAAATTCCTGTTTGAAAATCATCAACATTCGCTTGAATTTGTTTCATTGATGATCTGCCTTGTTCGTCTTTTCATAGTAAAAACAGTATTCCCCCTAGATCATTGCAAACTGTTTGCAAAGTGACAAAATGAAAGAAACGAACATAAACATTTCAAATTGTTTAATTTGTTGTAAGCGACTTTGGATGCCGGCTGACCTCAAAGAACGGGCAAAGAATAGAAACTAATTGCGCCAAGTTATAAACGTTGCGACATCAAAATTACAATATATACACAAACTAATAGCATTAATACTATTATAAACCTAAACTTTGAGATACTAACAATCGTTCCTCCATATTGTCTTTGAAATAACCGTCTTTAGCGTTTTCACTGGACCAACGACCGTGTCTTTTAAACATTCGGTCTTTAATGCCGCGGTTAGCTGCGGCTGAAGCCCCGCCTGAGCGCAGGGAATGTAAACAGAACTTGGAAACATCTTTGGCATGTGGAGCTAAAGCTTTATGAAATAAATCTCTTAAAGTAGAATAAGAAATGTGTTTATCAACAAGTTTAGGTTTATGCCCTATTAAAGTTGCACTCAAACCACAGAAAATAAAAGAACTTGAATCAGTGGAAAAATTAGCCCATAAAAAATATTTTTCCAAATTTTCAACTGGACACAACTTTGTACCAGTTCTTGCTATAACAAGCCAAGCACCGTCACTATAACGGTCAGTTTTGCTTGATTCTATTAAAATATCCATATGAGTATTATGTAAAACAACGTCATTATAATGAAAATTTAACAGTTCCGAACTCCTTAAAAAACCGGAGAACGATAAAAGTAATGCACAAATAGTTCTCTGTGTAAAAACATTTCCTTCTTCGAACGAACTGTGATACATAGACTGTAATAATTCAACTGTAATTGGTTCTTTTTTATTAACAGGTTTAGCTAAAATACGTTTAGCTGCCTCTAATAATTATGTTAAGTACAATTTTAGAATTAGTTGGAGAACAAAGGTTATATATAAAAATCTGGAAACAAAGTGATCCCTCGGAAGCATTAATCACAACAAAATTACACGAGAATTGCAGACTCGGTTTGATTGAGTCTGTACATGAGGGATAATGAAAACGTGCAACATCCCTCACGCCCCCTAGCACCGGCTTGAGCGGTACTCAATTCTCAACACTTAATAGTGCTGGCATCAATGATCCCGAAGGACCAGAAAAATATAACAACACTGAAGTGAAGTACGGGGCAACTTTTTACAGCTGCCACACGGCACTTGACACCTGCTGTTGTGAAGTATAAAAATCTGGAAACAAAGTGATCCCTCGGAAGCATTAATCACAACAAAATTACAAGAGAATTGCAGACTCGGTTTGATTGAGTCTGTACATGAGGGATAATGAAAACGTGCAACATCCCTCACGCCCCCTAGCACCGGCTTGAGCGGTACTCAATTCTCAACACTCAATAGTGCTGGCATCAATGATCCCGAAGGACCAGAAAAATATAACAACACTGAAGTGAAGTACGGGGCAACTTTTTACAGCTGCCACACAGCACTTGACACCTGCTGTTGTGAAGTATAAAAATCTGGAAACAAAGTGATCCCTCGGAAGCATTAATCACAACAAAATTACAAGAGAATTGCAGACTCGGTTTGATTGAGTCTGTACATGAGGGATAATGAATACGTGCAACATCCCTCACGCCCCCTAGCACCGGCTTGAGCGGTACTCAATTCTCAACACTCAATAGTGCTGGCATCAATGATCCCGAAGGACCAGAAAAATATAACAACACTGAAGTGAAGTACGGGGCAACTTTTTACAGCTGCCACACAGCACTTGACACCTGCTGTTGTGAAGTATAAAAATCTGGAAACAAAGTGATCCCTCGGAAGCATTAATCACAACAAAATTACAAGAGAATTGCAGACTCGGTTTGATTGAGTCTGTACATGAGGGATAATGAATACGTGCAACATCCCTCACGCCCCCTAGCACCGGCTTGAGCGGTACTCAATTCTCAACACTTAATAGTGCTGGCATCAATGATCCCGAAGGACCAGAAAAATATAACAACACTGAAGTGAAGTACGGGGCAACTTTTTACAGCTGCCACACAGCACTTGACACCTGCTGTTGTGAAGTATAAAAATCTGGAAACAAAGTGATCCCTCGGAAGCATTAATCACAACAAAATTACACGAGAATTGCAGACTCGGTTTGATTGAGTCTGTACATGAGGGATAATGAAAACGTGCAACATCCCTCACGCCCCCTAGCACCGGCTTGAGCGGTACTCAATTCTCAACACTCAATAGTGCTGGCATCAATGATCCCGAAGGACCAGAAAAATATAACAACACTGAAGTGAAGTACGAAGTATGTCATGAAACCACTTAATGCTGTAAAATGCCGTTATTATAGGCCTACAAGAATTAGCAGTTTGTATCAATGACGTAAGATATAAAGCCACCGGAAAATCCCTTGCGGGCAAAATGTCCCCACTACCAAGACCGTTAGCTAAAGCCCAAACCCTCCATCTGTTGAAAGCATTTGTATAGTTTTTGCGCGTGCTGTCAGCTCTAGACTGGAGGAGTATATCCGGCAGTAGAGTCACTTTGTCCACCAGGATCTCCGGCAGGTTATCTATCTCGTCACGATGGCTCTGGAAAAATAAATGTATAATCATACTTTTAAATTACATGAAAACTTGATTGCGTGTAAAATTCGTAATATATAAGATTTAGAAAACATCTCCTGAAACTTATTCTTAAGTGACGCAAATTTACCATTCTTAAAATACCAAAACAATAATACGAGAAACGAAAGTGTCTGTCTATATGTATAAACGTCTTAATTACAAAAAATTATCAAAAAACATAACGAACCAAAATATTCTTAACATATGTATGTAACGATAAGATAAATACCAATAAAATGCTAAACTTTATAAAAATTAAAGTCGTGTATGTTAAGTCTTAAAGGAAACATTTACACAGCTAATTAATCTTAAAATTAATGGCTGTTTTATAACCCTCTTTAAAAAACTTTTTCTCATGGTTGCTAACCCCAAAATTAAAACCCCTATTTTCATAGTTGCTAAACCCTTTAAATTTAAGCTATTTCCCCTTTGGCTGGAAAGGGCCTCATTATGCTAAAACTCAGGGGCCCCCAAAGGCAAAATTTTTAAGCTATTTCTCTTTGGCTGCTTAGCCAAATTAAAACTTTTTCTTTTGGGGCTGCTAAGACCCTCTTTAAGCTAGTATCATGTCTTAAGCCTAAAATTAAATATTACCGTTAGCAATTTTTCTTTGGTTTTCTTTTGCCTCGTCAAAATATTCTTAGGGCCTTCCCTATGTTATAACAATATTCTATGGCTCCCTAAGCTTTTTTAAAAAATCTAAGGGTTTTTTTCCCAAAACTTTAATTTATGTCAAAAGGGGTTTTAGAATTAGTGTGATTTTGGGGTCCGGCGTGACGTTAGACGCTTGTTAACTCTAAAAAACAATTAACACTTTAGAAAACAATTTTTAGAGCAAGCATATCGAAAGATAAATCTTGATTGCCAAAAATACCCCTTCCGTTCGAACATTTTGTGTAAAATTGCTTTTCACGAGGTAACATAATAAAATCTACTACTTCTTTACAAAATCTACCATCGGGACATAAAATAGGCCAAAAAGCCGCTGAGTTTAGGAACAACAAGAATTCCTTGTGCTCTGTCTTGTTTCATTTTACGTAGGACCTTTATCACAATAGATATTGGCGGTACAAAAAGTCCAAATCTCCCTGACCATTCTTCTGAAAAAGAATCGACTCCTGAACAATTTTCGTTCCAAAAATGTGACCAAAATACTGGCAAATTAGCGTTACGATTAGAGGCGAACCAGTCTACATCTAATAGTCCCCACTTTGACTGTAAAGTATGTAAAACAGTGAAATTGATTCCCCAATCATCATAATCGATAATTTTTGATATGTAATCGCTTTTCTGATTCTGAGACCTCGGAATCCATTCTTCATCTGTAGAAATCGAATTTTGTAAACAATCTGTATATACTAACAGCAACTTGCTGTAAATCACGTACCATCGACCCTTTTGGTATTATTTTACTGACTGCTTGATTGTCTGTAAACCATTTAATACGGTTGCCTCTAAGCAAATGTACTATAGATTTTAAAACCCTGAAAACTGCGGTTAATTCTCTCCAAGTAGAGGAAAGTAGCATTTCCTCGGGAGTACCGTAAGTAACGCTTTTAATAGTTGTTACTTCGTAACCACCGTAAGCGTAACTGCTTGAGTCAGAATATACTATTTTAGAGTATGAGGGGTTAATATACATGTCCCTAGCGCTTAAACTAAGTATTTCGTTTCGCCAAAACTCTAATTGTTCTCTACTTTCATGAGAAACTCGGACATAATAATTCCAGTGAGGAGCAACTAATATATCCATACTAATATATTTAGTCATGATAAGGGAAATATTTCCGAATACGATAGACATTGATATGATTTGACCTACGAAACTAGCTAATAAACGTACACAAACACGACTGTGTTTCTTTATAGCACTTTCGATCATTTCAAGTGTGTTTAAACACTTTGAAATTCTCGCTTCCGGTACGGAAATTATACCAGATTCAGAATTTAAGCTTAAACCTAAAAAATCCATGATACGCGTAGGTTCCAAGATACATTTCTCTAATTTGGGAACAAAACCTGAAGAAATCAGATCTTGCTTTATCTCTGCAGCTACGGTGCTTATTTTATCATGGGTTTCGTCTGTAGCGAAACCATCATCAAGAAAACATAAAGTCTTTTTGCCCTCGCCCCGCCATTTTACAATTAAAGGGCGAAACACCTTACTGAAAACATATGCGCTCGTAGATAAGCCAAAAGGGAGAACTAAAAACTTATAAAAAGTTGAAGCGCCTTGTAAATTTGTCCAGGAAAACCCCAAAAATGTAGTATGTGGCGGGAAAATCTCAATAAAATGATAGGCGGAATGAATATCAAATTTTATCATCCATGAACCTTTTTTGAGAAATTCAAGAGCTATTTTGACATCGTCATATTTAAAATACTGTTTCCATAAATGCTTGTTAACTGCACGTAAATCTAGAATAAGCCTACGTTTGTCATTCGAACGAACAGAAACAGTCAAAGGATTTACAATAAATGGTATTTCTTCGCAAATTTCTATCAAGCCCCTGTCTAACAATTCTTGAATAGATTGAATAACAAAATCTTTGTTTTCTAAAGCAGACTTATTATTGGGCAAATGGCATGATTCGGGTTTAGAGAAAAAAGGAATTTTATAACCCTGCAAAATCGTATCAATAACAAAATTAATTGTTGTAATCGATTTCCAAAAATTTAAATTTTGTCTTAATCTACCCCTAACAATTATTTCTTTCTGACCAGACTCATATTCAAAATAATCCTCTGTTAAAAACTTAATTTTATCTGTCATTAAATTTTCAGAGTCATTACATAAATACTCATCTTCTAAATCAACTGTATCCGAAATGTTACTTCTTGATTGGCTTGAAGCTGGTTGCTGAACTGTCTGCGACAAGAGGGCATGAGCGCCGGAAGTGGTCGAAAGATCCACACATGAAACAGGAACCGTAGGCGGTAGATCGTTGTTGATATGGGCTGGAGCCTCGAAAAAAGCCAGTGCTTCGTGCTTGTGAGATCGGAAATGGTGCTGTTGATGCTGCTGTGCTTGGGAAGCGAAAAGTAGGAGGAATAGAAGGCGCAGTAACCGTAGCAGATGGTTGTCTGCGTGTCGTCTGAGAGCGTTTGGCTGACTTAGACTTTCGACGTTTAGCTGCTTGATTTTCAGCCCTTCGGAGCTTTGCTTCATCGTCGGAATCACTGGCGAGAGGGTTTGATGTATAACAATCAACAGTATCCCACCCGAATTCGGACTGGTCAGCGACTTGAATTAGTTTCTGTCTGCGAGAGACTAAATCTACTGATTCTTCCGGGATTTCGCTGCAGTACTCGTACTTTTTGTTTTTGAGAGCCCAGTCCAATTGATTTAAATGTTCTAGTATATCACGGTTAAATTCATGCTGAATTTTATTACCTTTTCTCTTCCAGTCAAAGTCCAAATCTGCTTTTAACTTTTTAACTTCCTTCCATACAGAAATATTATTACCCCGTACTTCTTCACGTAAAGAATTAACATCGTCGTTGTGCCTTTGTAACTGCTGTGTTATTTGCAATAACTGCTGTTGGATTAAATCTGAAGTACTGTTAGAATTTTCTTCACTCATTATCGTCGGCTGTCCTAGCACTGAATGACCACGTTGTACATTATACCCTAGAAACTCGTGCGCTACACAGCGCCACCTATTGCAAACAATTACAACGAAATAGGGGGAAATAATTATCTTCTAATTCACTGCGTTCAAACGCAGAAAATTATATATATTTCGGCTATCTTACATCGTTTTGATGCTAAGAAATTAACCACTCAGGCTCAGATAATGCTTCTAATTACATTTGAACTTATCTATATTAGTTTAGGTTTTCGCTTTCTTTTGTTGTACTACGAGTTTTGTACAAATTAAAACACATTTAAGCAAATGTCTCCTTTCGATACATGAAAATATATAGATATATTTGATATAAATGTATATCGAATACAGCCATTTGCTTATCTCGTATATATGTTAATCGAAAGATAAAAATATAAACTAGAAACTATTCCTACCTGAAAGCTTAGAACTTATATATTTATATAACATCTGTTTTTTGTGAAACGACTTTTGTTGATGATGATGATGATTATAACGGTGTTCTTTATAATTATGATAAAAATTATAATTATTATCGTTACAATGATGGCTGGTTAGTATATATCAGATACTTATATAAATTGTTGAATTTTGAATTTAATAATGCAATTTTAACTATATTTTACCGGTTGAAAGAGGGCAGGTTTGCGTGTAGCATGCCATTTCAAATACTAGCTGAACTCTACTTTTGCTATCCCTCCACTTAACTAAACAGTTACAAAAAATATCTTTGTAATTTAATAATCAATAAAAAAATGCAATTGACTGGAATTAGTGTTAGGGAATAATCGGTTGCTGTTATATCTTAGCATTGCTAGTTTAAATCATTATATCTAAAGAAATGTTCACTATAAAATAGAGAAAAACAGAATCCCTTAATGAAAAAAATCAAAAAATCTACAAAACAACAATTTTTCTTCAAATTTATCTAACAGGCCATATTTAAACATGAAAAAACGCGATTTAGGGTAATTTCAAGTATTTTCATCATTTTCTGTTAACCCATTACGTTATATACACGCCTTTTAACGTCTTTTTCACACACCCCCCCCATTTTTGTTGTCTCAAATGGTGAAAAAATGCCTTATTTAGGCCCCCAACACTTGTTTTTGTTTGAGAAATGTTGTTAAAAAAGTGACCTCGTTTTCGGCGCGGCCCCCAAACCAAAAGATACATCAGGGGGTTGCCAGAAGGGGGATGTGTCGCCAAGAAAATTTTGGACTTGTGAGAGGCTATAAATGGCCCCAGATTGATCTTAAGGTAACGTGTAACCAACGTTGAAAAGCATTTGACTCTATCTCAATCCATTGAGAAGTTGCAGCACTTTGAAATCAATTTTGATGGAAAAATCAACGTAAAATAGTGATTTTTGGCAATTTTGAGATGTCCCCTCGTTGCCATGGTAACAGAAAATTTAAGCCTGAGCATGTTGTTGCAAGGGCAATGGTCCAGTCAACATTTGTGCCAAGTTTGATAAGTGTTGAAGCAGTTTTTATAGTATTATAGCAATTTGAACTTGTAACGGGAGACTTTTCAATGAAAACAGCCATTTTTCACAAAATGCTCATGAAGTAATGGGTTAAGAAAGCCAAACACGACAGAATTGTAAAATGTTGCAGGCTCGGTTTGCTTGAGCCTGTTCAAGGACGGTGCTGGAAAGTGCCAGTTACCGTCCACGGCCCCTAGCACGGCTTAAGCAGAATTCAACATTTAAACGCAACATAGTGAAATTTTGAATTAAGACACATTTAGAACCTTCAATGTGACACAGTAGTGTCATTCCATGAAAATCGGCGTATGGTCCTCAAGTAAAAAATGCTTTTGTCCTAAACGAGAAAACAAAATGGGCGAAATATATAAAATGGAATGTTGAAAGGGGGTCTGATGTTATGAAGCATGCATATCACAGACAAGACGTCAAAAGACAAATTTAAAAAGCAGGCAACATATCCTAATAGTGATTATACAGTATTCATGTACGAAAACTGGAACCACCCAAATTGAAAAAGGTCAAATACAAGAAACTAAAAATACCATCTAAAATGTATACACATAGTGTAGTGCTGGACGATTCTTAAGTCGTTGCGACCTCTAGCAAATATTCATATCGAACTTGTATGTAATTATATGTAATCAGATTCAATTGTTTTGTTTTTTTAACCAATGTTGTATCGTGATCATGAAGTTTTATGATGCTAAAGTCACTGCTTTATAAGAGAAACATTTGGCCGTTTTAAGGATTATTTGCACATGTTACATTGTATCGAACGTGTTTGACGTACTTAGGGGATTATTTCGCTGATTCTGGCTTTCTAACTCTACGTAGATATACATAATTACATAAACACAAGCATACGCTCCAGGCATAGATACATAAACGTTAGGGACTTTACAGTAAACCTGTAGAAAGCAAAGGTAAATCTACTTTTATGTATTTCATCAAAACTTTCAAAAATTGAAATTTCGTGAAATTTTAACCATAAAAAAGTTTTACATTCATTATTGTTATATATTAATCATATTCTATATGTTATTGAAATTAGGTCTGTCCAATAAGTCATGGACAAAAGCGTGTAAATATAAAATATTAAACGGACCTTTAAAAAGTAAATTAACTGATGTTAAATACACCATTTCAAAACTCCAGCATGGTATCATTTAATTGGGATTACACAAAACAAATTTTGAGACTACATGGTTAAAGTGACATTATGCCCATCCAAGGGTATGATTGAGTGAACATACGAATGTCAAAACAAATTTTCATGTTGCCATATATCCTTTTAATATAAAAATTTATTTCACATAAACAATAACCAACGCACGGATCCAAAGGAATTTTTGGTAAATATCCAGTAACATTCAGTTCATAAAAAGAGTGGGACAGTCTTTTTATATTTTAGGCAGATTTAAATTTTATTCTAAACATTTTTCAATATGAACTGTGGGTCAATCACCATTGTAACAGTCAATCTTTTGAAATATATAGTCAGTTCAGCTGAACTTAACTATAAAATATGAGCATAATGCCACTTTAAGCAATGCAGCTTACGCTTCGTCATAATTACTTTTCTGATTTATTTGTCTCAATGTTGTTCTTTTTTCATAAAGGTCAAACTTCACAATTTTTATAGTACATGACTGTGTACTTAAAAGGAAGATTTGTAAACATGTACGTCTTGCGGTATCTTAGTATTTTTTTCCCCATAAAATGTCAGACATAGGTAAATATAACGTCATAACTCTGTTTTATAGAATTATGTTTAAGGCTTGTTATATGGCGATTCTTGGCGTGGGCCTCAAACGCACACTTCAAATCTGTATTAATGCTTTGATGTGTAGCGTATGAATATTTTTTTGAACTAATGTTTCTTATTCTACTTCAAGTTGATGGAGATACACTTGGGCAAAATTATTTTAGGCTTAGACGTTATATATTTTTGATTTACTGCAACTGTCATGACTTTGCTGGACAGCTCTCGTATGTTAATTCAAAATGGTACAAAGTCATATTGCTACCACACTGACATCCCCCCCCCCAAACAAAAAACAAGAAAAAAAAAACAAAAGCAGCAACAACAAAAACAACAACATGCAAAACATACATACTCAATATGAGAATGATACCTATAATGAAGCATCTTGTAGCTATGTTTTAGTGTTTGTTTTAAATTTCATTAAAATAGTCATTTAAACCAATTGTTTAAGTTTGCAGATGAACTGACATTTTCCGAGGTCATTAAAACAATAAAACAATGTTTCTTCTGACAGAAAAGTAACTAACATATATGTGTTCGTATTAATAAACAATAAAGACATATAAAGCGATATTACCCCACTATAATTTCATATAAAGCTGTCATAAAACATAAATAAGAATTGGAAGACCGAAACCCATGGTTACAAATATATTTAGATTGCTCACACTTAAAGTTATTACCCCAGAAAATGCAGTTTGGGAGTTTCATCAAAAATAAAATTTCACCACAGACTCGTATATTTATATAGAAGTAGATAATAAGTACATGACTGTCTGACGAAATGAAATCTTAGTAAAGTATTTGAAATGTTAATCCTGCTGTAATTTTAAACCTAAACCGTTTCAACGTTTATATTGTAAAAATTGACATGAATTATCAACACATCCGTTAACTTGTTGCAAATAGATCAGTTTGTTGCGGGAAGAATAATTGTGCGCTTGGTAAGTTTTGATATCCTGCAATCGATTCCTGCACGTATCATGTATATCAAAGTAAATTATATATGAAAAAAGAGACACATAAGAAGAACATATTTTGGAAATCCGATTTTAAACTGACATTTATTTAGTAAGGTTACCTGTACCAAGCTATCCTACTTGCTACATGTTAACGGATGCGATAATAGGGGTGTTTATATCGGTGTCAAGTGAACTACAAGTAAATGGTTTCCTGCGGTGAACATTTTAATGATATATTTTAACTATTTTCAACATTATTTGGGGGGGGGGGATATATAACCGTTTGCATCAGGGATAAAGTTGAATAAATTTAACGATCACTATGGAAGAAGGTCTTTGGAAACTGGTGACCGTTGAAGACCGGAGAAGGTCGAGCATAAAACAATTATTTCTTTTTAAGAAAATGATTAAATAGGCCTTCATTTTATGAATAATTCCGAGCAAAAAATAAATAAAGTAAACACACAAGTTTACGCAGAAAATATCTCTATTTATTATGGCTGATGCCACTACGAATATTTTAATTTTGTAGATTTTCAGTATAAACAATTTATTGTTTGTAAAGTTTTAGAAAGATATTAAAGAAACATTGATAATTTTCAAACATACTGTCCTAGGATGATAATTTGGTCTTAACGGTACATGGGAAAGTCCAAAAACGGGGTTATCTGGATTATTATCCGATATCGTAAAAGTAAACACATATACTTTACAGTACCGTTTATATATTACCGTTATGGCTCTGCCGGTAGATCGAAGTTATTGTAACTTTTAATATTTTGAACTCATAGGTTCGAACCCAATGTAGTGCCATTTTATTACCACAGTTTTTTCTTCTTGCTCTGTTTTTTATCATTATTATTTATTTATTTTTTCGTTTTCCGTTTTGATTTCTTCTTATAATATATATTTCATAGTATATATTTTTTTATTTCTATTCTATTTTCTTTTTGTATTTTTTGATCGCAGAGTAATAAAATATTCGATCTCATATTCATGTATGTATATGAATTTTTTTTTGAACCATTGACTGTTCTGAGGTAAAAACAATATGTCTTACCAGTAGTCGAACTTCTGCCTGTACGGGTAAAAGACATTACCGACACGGTTGCTCTACCTACTGCGCTAACACGTCATATGATTATGTAGTTTTATTTTCATTTTTATAGGTTGTGACATTGATCTGCCTAACCTATTTTTCGCATTGTTATTGGTCTTTGTTATGTAAACAAAGGTTCAAGTTATCATCCTAGGACAGTATCATTCAAGTTTTTTCCAACTTTAACGGTAAAATAACTATAGAAAATTAGAAATAAACACCGATAAACACTTTCAGAACTAGCAGACGACTGGGGCTATTCGTATCAGTAGAATTTCGAGTAAAGATAAAGGATTGCGTATCTCACTGTATAAATCGTATGTAAAATGGTCTGACATATGGTAGGTTTAACAGTTAATTAAAATACTTTGAAGTCCAAAGATGTGTTGAATTTTATACAGTGACGAAGCTAAGATCCAAAGCTTTCTATTGGTGTAATACATTTTAAAATCGGACATTTAATCACAACAAACTAGCGGTTTAAAAACAGCTTATTTTGTATTGTTTTAGCATAAGCGATATCGATTTTACTCGAAGATAAGGGAAGCAACTCGCATTTTTTCACTCGATATACCTCGGTTATTTACGTAGATCATATTGAAAGTGTTTACAGGTAAATCCGTAACGTACCGGCAAACGGTATTTAGCTAGGTTTTCGAAAAGGTCAATTAACCAATCATGTACGGTTTACAGATCACATGCTCCTCCATGTACCGAAAACAGGTCACGTGCTCCTCCATGCCTCAAAAGTTAAACGCGTACCAATACCCTGCGGTCTCCAGACCGCAGGGAATAACAACTGTTTGGTTACAGCTATCTCTCATGGAAACTGCAAATTTTACTTCTATGCATATTTAATAACTATTAACACATAGCTTTACGTTTATGTTTTAGACCCGTTTCGTGTTGGGGAGTAGCTTTACTACAATGTATACGGTCATCAAGGAAAACACTGAATCAAATAAGCTAGGAGACGTATACAGGAGCACTGAATGTTTACAATAGGCAGCGATGGAAAACGTTAACATACAAATAATTGCAATGTTTCTTTTTTAACTTTAGCTCTAATTAAAGTTCATCAGTTTGTTTCATTTATAATTATCTTTAATCTGGCAAATGTAAAGAAAATGAAGCGTTTCTTCTCAGCAGAATACTGACTTACATTAGTATATCAGAAAAATAATGAAACATTAATACTTAAGCACTTGCATCAAATATACTGTGAATCAAATATAAATCATCATGAATATAAAAATGATTTTTGAAATTGTGTCGTGCACAACATTGAAACCATACATCATTTTGTTTTAGATTTAATGTTTTTCTTTGTCTTGGTAATTGGTCAAACGATTAATTAATTCATGCCTGCCGTTGAATCATTTCACCAATGTTTAATCTGATAGAAGGATTCATTGTGCGCAATCTAAGATGTAAGTCAGAATTCTGCTAAGAAGAAACACTTTGAATTGCTTTTACATTTGCCAGATGAACATTAGAGCTAAAGTTAAAACAAAACGCTGCACTAGTTTAAATGTGCTCCCAGATACGACTCCCAGTCTGTTCTGTTTATTGTTTTCCTTCATATACATTGCAGTAATAATGCCAAGTTTAGTTTTGCCTGAAAAAATCATTTTCCTTTAAAATGCACATGTTAAGAAGATATACTTTGACATTAGTAAAAAAGAAAAGAATTGCATACTCTTTATGAGGCAATTAATCACCAAGATATTTGACAGACGTAGGTAATTTATTCGTTGTCCATGTAGAGAAATAGGTTGCATAGATAATCTCTAATTATCAACGGAAGCTTACAAATCATGTAAAGAATACGACAGATGGTGTTGAACCTTAATATGCTCTGAATTCGAATGATAAAAATACACCACATTGTTTCTATGTGTGCGGGTATTGGTACGTTTCTTGGACTCAGTACTCATGTCTGTCTGAGTGTCTATCTATAATGTTAACATGCATTTGCAAAATAGATCCAATTAGATTTTGCTATTCTTTTAAATATTGAACAGACGTTTTCACAATTCAAAACATATTGTCAATCAAAATTATAACAGGTTTGATGTTGAAGAGGAAGACCAACTACATTATTATTATTGTATGTAATGGTTGCAATTACATTTGTTGGATGAATGTCAAAATATGCATTTTTATCTAAGACAAAAGAATAACTTAAGTGTCTATACTAACCTATAAGAAAAAAAACATGCGCAATAGAAAACCCGATTTAAATTATAAAATAGTGTGATATTATTTGAAACTTTTCTGTGAAAAAAAAACTTTAAATGTACTTTGATTTTTTTTCTTGTATATTTTGTATAACAATGTATACAGAATGGCAACATATGTAATTCTTTTTATGAAAATGCCTCATGTGCATGTCTGTTCGGCACCATTAATATGTTTCGATTTTGCTATAAATGTTTTCTCTATTTGTGTCAAGAATGCATCTCAGGATGAACATCAAAATACTAATCCTGGTTTGCTTTGGGTACCTGTTTGTTGTTGCCAAATGTGACGATGAAAATAATGGAAACAGTGACAGTAATGAAAACAACGTAATAAGTGAAAAGAAAGATATAAACGACCAAGTGCAAATGGCATTGGAAATGGGTAAAATGGAAGTAAAGGCAGAATCAGCACTCAACAAATTGAAAATGAAAAAAGGTGGGCTACGGTTTATAACATGATAAGAAATCATTACTGTCATTGATCAGGATTGAGATTTTGCAAAGTTTTAATTAAATTCTCACCGCTAGTTGTTTTCTTCCTAAAGAATTACTAAAATGTCCAATAAGAAGCCTAAATATTAAATGCATCGGATGGTAGTTCCATGGCTAGTTTCCTATAATCTGCATTCAGCAGTTATACATTTACTGTTATTTATCTTTAACTCTGCATAGGCTTTGAGCCATTGTAAATATTTACAAAATATACCAAACTTTATATCACATACTAACCCTTTCATCCTTGAGGGTACAAATTGTGTTAGATATATTGCCGTGAATCAAATCTAAAAATGCAAATCCTTTTCTTTCGCAAGCACTGCTTATACGACGAACCATAGGTGAACGTCGCGTGGCCATGACTTACACTATAACCCCGTTCCCCCTCTACAACCCAAAACCCTTTAACATCATCCAAACATCATAAGTATTGACAAAAATAAATTTTATGAAAAGAAATTTTTATGACTCTAAAAAATATAAAGGTATTTTACTCGACTTTCATTTTGCTTTGAAATATCACTAGCATCTCAATTATCAGCGCATATATTCATCAATATTTCTATCCTGGTGTCAAATCTTAGATAAATAAATACTTTTAAGGAAACAACACTGACACCTTCGCTGATTATACGTAGCAAGTAATATTCAAGCCCAAACTGTCAACAAATGAAACTCAGAAGAGATCTGATTGCACTGTTTCGGTATAACTCTCACGAGTAAAACACACTAAATTCACAGTGAATGAATATTTCTTTGTATTGCGTATTTAAATATGATAAAATTAAATTATTAGTTATAATTCTTTAATCAAAGCATCATATGAAACTCTAACGCACCTTTTTTCCGATATTTCAAATTCTCAATCCAAAATGAAAGTAAAATGGCACAGCAGATTTGTTTCCCTTTTCCTTTTGTATGGAGTATTTTCATTGGTCAGAGGTTTTCATGTGACCAATGAAAATACTCCATTTGAAAACAATCTGCTGCGCCATTTTACATTCATTATGCTAGTGATATTTCTATGCAAAATGACCTTTATAATTTTTTAGAGTCATAATTTTTTCCATAAAATTTATTTTTCTCAATACTTATGATGTTTGGATGATGTTTAAGGGTTTTGGGTTGTAGAGGGGGAATGGGGGTATAGTGTAAGTCATGGCCACGCGACGTTCACCTATGCGACGAACTTAATAATGGTCTCGTTGGGAAAACGTCACAAGATAAATAATTATGTTAGGAAACTTAATGATGTACAAAATATTTGTCACAATTATGTAACAAAATCTGCATTTAAACTAACCAGCAACATAATGCTTTTATCTTTGGCAATTGATAAACAACAGCAATGCATATATAATGTAAAACCATTCAAAACGCACCACCCTAATGTTCATATTGGAATAGAAATAAAGATTTACTCACGTTTAATTATTGTTAATCAATGACAATGTCTCTATATTCAGGCGTTGATACAAATGCAGACTCGGCTCAAGATAGGCTTGCCCAGTTTGGAGAACTCGATGAAGACGGTATCAGGCTGGTAGATGATGCTAAAATTCAATTAGCAGCTTTAAAGAAGCTATCTACAATGTAATGAACATTTGTCCTTTTATTAGGTTTCTCTTTATACTGAATATTTATGTATAGACCGTTTAAATTCCCGGATTCTTTGTCTCTTTTTGTTTCAAATGTTTACTTGGAAATGATTGACATTTAGTTGAGCTTTTAAAAGTCATATCATATTTAAATTAAACTAAAAATGACTTAAAAGCCAATTTTCAGATTACCTATACTTATTACCTTTTTCGGAAATCAAGAGTGTTTCTTTAATTGAATAATATATTCATATTGAATAAGACAGATAAAGTGATACGTAAATATTTATATTTCAAGATCATACTGTCAATTTCGTATTTGGTTCCGAAGTGATAATATTTTTACCTATCTTTTAACACTCATACATAGTTAAATTTCTTTGTAGCCAAAAATGAAGTGTCAAATACAAATTTTTAAGATAACAAAAATTATTTGAGAAAAAAAACCCATAAAACTCGGTGATTTTTCTAATGTTTATTAATTTAAACAGAAGTCTCATATTATTAAATGCAACCAATAAAACCTATAAACCTCATCCAAATGATTTTGGAAGAATCGCACTTTTATCGGTGCTAAAAAACCGTAACTATTAACACAAAACGTCATGAACATAGAAAACGGCACCTGCAACAGTTATCTCATTGAACATCTTCTTTAAAGCAAGTGTCTTTACTTTCAGGGAAGACATAAAGCCATACAAAATAAAAGCAAACCGAAAATATCTGCAGATATGGAAAAGAAGGTTCCACCAGTATTGTCCAGCCATTTATAATGTATGTATAACGTTACCTCACGATATACGAGGGCTGTTCGAAAAGAATTGCTTATTGTCCTCTATCGCGTGATCCACGTGGGACACGATAAAAACCAATGCATTCTTGTATAGGGTAATTCAATACCTACACATCGGTGTATAAATGAACGTTAGACTACGTGTAAGACATACAATTTGCCATTTAAATACACGCAGTCATTGACCACTGTAGTAAAAATGGTTGGTAGAAGCGTCGACAAAAAAGATGAAATACGGGCTTACATCAAAGCTCGCTCAAAACTGGGTTGCTTTTTGAAGCAGTTGACGACTGAACTCTCTACTGCTTATGGGCCTTCTTGTGTGTCTTATGACACAGTTAGGCGATGAAAAAAGAAATTTGAGTCTGATGTAGAGTGCATCAAAATGCACCAAAATCAGGTAGGCCAAAATTTGCATCTCGTAACTAAATCGTATCCAAAATAAAGGATATCATTGAAGAAGATGCCAGATTTACACTTCGTGATATTGCATGAAAGGTAGGCATATCACTATCAACGGTTCACTTTATTTTGAAGAAGCATTTGAAAGCCAGAAAGATTTCTGCTAGATGGGTACCACATCTGTTGACCGATGAGCAAAAGAGGCAACGGGTTAAGGTGACCAAAACGCTGCTTCAAATGTTTCCAAAATATATCAAGAAACAGTTTGCCAATGTCGTCACAGGTGATGAAACTTGGGTCCATTATTTTGAGCCCGTCAGAAAAGTTAGCAACAAAAGCTGGGTCACTAAACACAACAAACGCTCAATAATTGCCAAACGGTCTTTGAGTGCAAAGAAGGTTTTGTATGCAATTTTCGTCTCTAGTGAAGGAGTCGCAATAAAAGTACCGGTGAAAAACGGCAAAAGTATCACTGGGAAGTACTACAAAGACGTAGTACTTAAGAAAATGAAAAAGTAACGACGCCCTGTCACTGGTTTTAAGCATATCCGTTTACTACATGACAATGCCCCCTGCTCATACCACCGCAATAGTTTCGGCGTTTTTGAAAAAAGGAAAAGTAACTGTTTTGCCTCACCCCCGTATTCTCCAGACCTTGCCCCATGTGATTTCTTTTTGTTTCCGAAATTGAAATCCTTCCTTGCTGGGCTGAAATACAAGTCCCGTCAGGCACTTGGATCTGCCATTCATCAGTACCTTATTACTGTGCCAAAATCAGCGTACCGTGACGCCTTCAAAATGTGGATACATCGGCTGAAACTTTGCATTTCTAGCCACGGGGAGTACTTCAAGGGCATGAAATGAACACTTTTGAGCTTACTTGAAATTTGAAGTCTCCAGATAGAAATTAGCAATACATTTCCAACATCCGTCGTATTTATAGTAACTAAATGATTCTAGATTTTAGTATATTTAACCTTACCACTCGCCCAATTATTAGTTATCCACCTTTTCTATGAATTAACGATACCTTAAATGATACCAATAGTACTTCAATAATGACAGTTATACCGTATGTTATAAACGTTAGCTCACAATATATCATTATTAGCTCAGTATTGGTATATACTTTATATACAAATAGCTCGCAAACGTTTGAAATATTTATTATCCCCCGCCGAAAAGGCAGCGGGGGATATAGAAACAGTCGCCGTCCGTCCGTCCGTCCTTCCTTCCTTCCGTCTGTCCTTCCGTCCAACATCTTTGTCCGGAGTATATCTCAAAAAGTATTTGAGGTTTGAACTTAAAACTTCATACGTAGATAGATTATATTGAAGACGAGTGCAATGCACAAGAATGATAACTCTACCCAGCATAACTTTTGAGTTATTGCCCTTTGTTATTTTTCAAAATTAATTTTTGCCAGAGCATAACTCAAAAAGCCTTTGAGATATCAACAAGAAACTTCATAGGTGCATAGAGCTAACTCAAGAGGTGTGCAGTGCACAAGAATGATAACTCTACCTTTCATAATTTTTGAGTTATTGCCCTTTGTTATTTTTCATTCCTAATTTTTCACCTGAGTGGAGCATAACTCAGAAGTGTTTGAGATGTCAACATGAAATGTCATAGGTGGATAGATGTTATTGAGGAGGAATGCTGTGCACAAGAATGATAACTCTTCCCTATATAATTTTTGAGTTATTGCCATTTGTTCTTTTTCATACTCTTTTTTTTCCGAAGCTTATCTCAAAAAGTATTTGAGGTATCAACTGGAAACTTCATAGACGGATGGATCTCATTGAGGAGGAGTGCAGTGCACAAGAATGATAACTCTACCCTGCATAATTTTTGAGTTATTGCTCTTTGTTATTCTTCAAAATTATTTTTTGTCCAGAGCATTACTCAAAATGCCTTTGAGATATCAACATGAAACTTCATATGTGCATAGATCTAACTCAGGAGGTGTGCAGTGCACAAGGATGATAACTCTACCTTTTATAATTTTTGAGTTATTGCGCTTTGTCATTTTTCATACTTAATTTTTCACCTGAGTGGAGCATAACTCAGAAGTGTTTGAGATGTCAACATGAAATGTCATAGGTGGATAGATCTTATTGAGGAGGAATGCTGTGCACAAGAATGATAACTCTTCCCTATATAATTTTTGAGTTATTGCCATTTGTTCTTTTTCATACTATTTTGTCCGGAGCTTATCTCAAAAAGATTTTGAGGTATCAACTTGAAACTTTATAGGTGGATAGATTTTACTGAGGATGGGTGCATCACACAAGAATGATAACCTACCCTGCATTATTTTTCAGTTATTGCCCTTCGTTATTTTCAGCCATCAGTATTCACATAGGTTTCAAGTCTGTAATCATTTCAGCAATCAGTTTCTGTATTTTTTCTATTTCATTACCAAAAGACCTCTTAAAATGGAATTATTCTTCTCTACTACATATACATTCTTCCAATGAGCAAACACACTCGGCGGGGGATGGTCATGTTGACATGGCTCTTGTTATCAATTGATATATCTATGCATGTTATTACGAAAGCCTTTCTAAAATAACTATATGACAACAATACCTATGTTTACCTTTTAATACTTATACCAATAAACAAACACATCACAATTTAATCAGAGAAATGTGAATATATTTGCTATATTGATTTTGGAAAGTAATACTAAGTGTGATATAAACAAGTAGGTTTCAAGGGCAAGTATGATTATTCAATGCATTTTAAGGTCCACTCATTCACTACATATATGATAAAGAAATTAGGGTAATAAAGCTTCTTAATTTAATTTGTATGATAGCAAATAAGATATTGTTGTTATATCATCTTTACATTTCTGATAAAAATTATCTAAATGGGCAATAAAGTGTTGCAAACATGCTGTAAACTGATAATTTAAACAAATTGAAATCAAAGTCTTTGTTTATTGTAAACACATTTTTATTGAGTAATATTTATCGAAGAGGAAAACTTTATTTCACGCACACAAACATGTTTTCATGCTCGTAATAGGCTGATTACTATCCAATTTAAATATGATTTCTATTTCTTTTTAGGGTAAAACCTGCGATCCTAAGGCGTATTATAGGACTATAGATGGAACATGTAATAATCTACAGAAACCGACTTGGGGAGCTGTTAAATGCCCTCAGTTAAGAGAAATACCGCCCATGTATTCTGATGGTCTGTATATATTTTCTTCACAACATTGTATTGTAACGAAGTCAAGAACAATTATTTTAACTAAATTGTGCTCAAAACAAAGAAAACCTTTGTTTCTCGTACGTATGTTTGTGGGTAAATGCAATATGAATTTCAATCACGGATCGTACTTTGAGAGACATATTTCAAATTCATTAGGACACATTGGTCCAAAGATTAATCAAATCTTTATTATCATTATAAGATAATTTTTTTAAATTATAACTGGTTGCATAAATATTATACCTGTACAATTAATTTTAAATAGGAAACTAAAATTCTTACTTTATTACTTGTGCTATAGTAACATAACACTCGCTTTAATGAAAAAAAGTTTAATACTTTAGATAATTCGGGAAATGAAACAATTTATTTCGCACTCTCCTACACATTCTTATTGTAAAGCATTACTATTTGTTTAGAAAATGTTTGAATGTTTGTTTCTACAGGTATAGATGCCCCCAGAACTCTGGGGCTCTCAGGTGAGGAACTACCAAGTGCTCGTGTCATCAGTAACGAGCTTCATAAAGCGGATGGACTGGCACCAAGAAATGATAAACTCACAATGATGGTAATGCAGTGGGGTCAGTTCCTCGACCATGACGTTGTAGCAACACCGGTTCTTAAAGGTATATCAAAAACAGCATAATATTAAAGTTATGCCTTTTATACATAGAATAAGCAGATCTAAACATGACAGGTTTTATAAATGCTTAACATAAATTATTCAAGCTGTTCTATAAGCACAAACAAAACAAACGTAAAGGATTATTTCTCATTAATTAAATATATTTTCAATTATTTGTCAATACATAAAGGGACAAACGTTACCCCATTGATTGTTAATTATGTTTAGGATGCAGTAATAAAAGCTGCATAATTCAAAATAACTTTGACAGACTGAAGTAATATTTCTTGATACCTAATATATATTTTAGGCTTGACATTTAAGTAATCTGATTTGTACCAGGGGGCGTAGAAACCCCAGAAAGAACGAGCATCTGAATACAATATTTCTTTCGTTATCCTTTTCTCTGCAGTCACAATAAGTAAACCCCAGCAGAAATGAGCCAATCAATGGGCATGCTCTGGAGTGCGGTAACTAATAGCTGCATTCCAGTTATTCACTGTGCATGTATATGTATACGATTTAACTCTGACACATTTTCAACAGAAAGGTCCCCAATCTATGATACAATATGTTATTGTATGTTTTGTTTATCAGTTCACCTTCCTCTGAGAGAACCCTTACTCTAGTGGTATAGTGACTTCTCAATCAGCTGCATACTTTACACTCTCTTCAATTTTGGACTGGTATCCTTCAAACGTTTTATGGCAAAGTGATAGACCAGTTTTATGCTATAAGTATGTATTGACGATTATATGAAATAATGATAATTATAAAATTTATAATCGCCTAGTCAACTTAATGTCATAAAATGATAAAATACGAATTGTGATACTATTTTCAATACAGGCGCAATGGGAGCTAATATAGAATGTTGTGGTGAAGGAAACGAAAATAGGTTAGTTCCCTTTATTATTCTTTTTCTTTAAGCGTATTTTTTTCATGCGTTATATTACATATTTCATTTCAAGGTATATTGAAGAATTAAAGAAACAAAGGTCAATTGGAGAATCTTGAATTCTAGGTATATTGTCTTGTGTAATTGATTGAAAGCTATCTATCTATTGTAAAATGTAACTACTGACAAAACCAGGATATATCTAAATATCTCTTACATTCATGTGCGGGTGAGTTATTCTCATGCCGTAAGTGTGAGGACAAAGTTTATGAATCTACTCTGTATTAATTATTTGTTTTTAAAGTAGGCTATATTTAACTGCTCAATAGCTCACTCAAATGACGCATGCTTTAAGTTTTCATGCATGTGTTTTAAGATCATTTTATAGGTATGTTAAATTATTTAGTTCTTCAAGGGTTCATGCTATCCGCAAAGTACATTATTATTCCGCCATTTATGTGAGCTATTAAATCAACGAATCAAGAAGCAGTATGAATTTTCTCGTACACGTGGACGTCTATTTGATATTAAAGGTACGGACACAACTGTAATATATCGAAGGAGTATGCAGTCATTATAAACGTATACCATTTACGCTATATGAAATATATCATTTTAAACGTAATTGTTTTTTTCTTTTCATTAAAAAAGGACCGAATGTTTCCCTATCCGCATACCGGACGATGATCCATTCTTCAACAGGACTTGCATGGGTATGGTGCGATCAGCTCCAGTGCCGGACCATGATTGTGAACCAGGTATGTAATGTTTGGTATTAAACAAACCTTTTCTTCTGCAGGTTATTTGCCTATGGTAAAACCAACTTAAAAAGTAAGCTGACAATAAAGAAAATAGTCTTGAAATATAAACTTAAATACTGCATGTAAAAGTACATTTAAAGGGACTCCACTGAGTTTTTTTTTGACATGATGGGACTTAAAAATATTTTTTCCAGATAAATGTACCATTTGATGTTTGATTAGACCACTAATCTTTCTGCAAAATTTCAGATCATTCGCCCACTTCTTTTTTTCATAATAAGGATACAAATTGTAAAAAAATGATCCAAAATGAAAAGTGTTTAAACGCTTTTAACTCAAATCGGGCTAAGAAAAAAATAAAAATACGATTTTCAATTTATTTCAAAGTATATTTCTTAACTATCTTTGCATATAGTTCTGTTCAAAGTGTCCCAGCTCATTTATGTTAGAAATTCAAATGTTATGTTTTTAGGCTTTTAAACCTCAGTGGAATCCCTTAAACATTGGCATAAATAACCAAAGTCATATTCATCTTGATGGGGGTGTTGGTTTATTTAAATAAGGGACCCATTTGTCCATTGACACATTTTATACTTTGGTGAATGGCGATATAGAACGTAGGGTACGTTTGTGTTATAGTTTGGGGTTCAACTGTTGGATCAAACATTCGATGATTCATTTGATATAGGGTAAGGGCAGTTATTAAACAGTATTAAACCTGTCAATGTACATCATATGCTTGTGAGTGTCAGAAATAATAAATTGCTGCCACTGATACTAAAAATTAGTTGCATGATTAGAAGAGGGATATGCGTGTTAAAAGTTTGATACAACAATAAATGATAAAGCATTACAATGAACATTCTCTTATTTTCTTTTTCTGATTAGGTTTTCGGGAGCAGATGAATCAGGTGACGTCATATATAGATGCATCGGCGATATATGGTTCAACTGAAAACCAAACTATCCCATTACGAACATTTAAAGGAGGTAATCGTTTCAAATAATTGGGTTATAAAACTGTTAATTACAAATATGAAGAAATAAAAAACCATACAGTCTTTTTCAGTATAAACTAGTGTTAATGACAAATTCGACAAATGTAAATGTCATGTATTATTATAGGTGAAAGCATAAAACTTTAGATAAAGAAATATAGCCGTACTCGACTGTTTTAGGATGTATTTTTATTAAAGGATACTACTTATTTTCCTTATCATTTTAAACAGTTTCTAGGCAACGATCGGATAGCAAACAAACAAAGTATTGTTAAGTAAATCGTTCCATATAAAATTAAATCAAAAATAATTAAGATGGAAAATGAAATTTGCCGTCGATTTAATACATATACAATAAGGAAACCCCTCGATCCCTGGATCTACTGGTCCGCTCTCTGTATGTAAATTAGTAAAGTGGACTATTTATTTTCCCGGCGATCTTCTGTTTTTAGAAATGAATGTCATTGGAGCACTTGAAATACCTCTCGGGACGCATTTTATAAAGTAGCGTAACAGTGATATAATGCACTTTTCCAAGATATGATTACAGAAACAACATAGAATTGTTTTTCCAAGAAAAAGTAAAAGCTGAAGGCCGCTTTGATACATGTGTATTAGTCACATACTATTGTATAATGCGCACAATAATATTTTCTGTCTACATGTAATAACCAGCTGATGTTATTTTGTCCATTTAAAAGATCTGAAAACAACGCAGATTAGGTATCAGGTTATGTTTATTGTACATTGTATGGCATGAAGATAAAAGTCAACACAACGTTAACTTTAAGCAGTATTTGTAAACATTTATTTTGTAAAAAAAAATCTGGAAACAGAGTGATCCCTCCGAAGCATTAATCACAACAAAATTACATGAAAATTACAGACCAGGTTTGATCGAGTCTGTACATGAGGGATAATGAATAAGTGCAACATCCCTCATGTTTCCTGGTATCGGCTTGAGCGGTACTCAAGAGCGATATTCAACTCTCAACAATAGCAATAGTGCTGGCATAAGTGATCCCGAAGGACCAGAAAAATATAACAACACTGAAGTGAAGTGCGCGGCAATTTAGTTGCTCAACTGTTTAATAAAGGTATTCATTCTATCTACATGAATATTCATCCCGTTAACATCTGCTACTAATCAAACACGCTTATCTTGACAATCAAAGCAGAAATTATCGTTCCTGTTATTCTTTCCAATCCTATATGTATTTCTGGCACAGCCAGTGATTCTCGCGTGATAACAAAACTCCCTTGCAACATATGCATACATGCTACAAATGATCCCTTTTAAAATTTTTTAAATTATGTGAAATTTAAAAATTTTTTAATTGGGAAAAAATTGAATTTAAACATAGTTTTTAAATGAAGGCGCAAAAATTGGGGTTTTAAAAGTAAAACTAAAACCCTTTCAAAACAACCCCTTTTACAAACCTTATACTTAGGAAAAGGCCCGCGTGAAAGGTCATAATTTTCCTTATTTAAAGGGGGTAAGGGCCCCCAATTTTTTTTTTTCCCCCCCCTTCCAAAGGCCCAAAAAAAAAAATTAAAATTAAAAAACCCCTTAAAAATTAAATTTTTGAATTTTTCTGAATTTTTACACCCGAAAAACAAGGGGTTTTTTGGCTAAACCCAAAAGCAAAAGGCCTTTTTAAAATTTTCTGTTTCCGAACCCGATGAAAATTGGCAAAGAGGGCCTTACCTTTATAATCCAACTCATATATACCGCATGGATTTTTCGTGCTCACAAATATATTGTTATTCAAATCTACTTCAACGCTATTGTACTGTTCAATATTCTTATCAAAGCAGCGCGATATAATCTTTCCGCATCTTTCAACAGTAAAAAGTCCTCGATTTTGGTCAATTATGTATATCAACCCATTCAATTCATTTATCGCAATGCCTTTTGGGGATGAAACTGCATGGCCGAGATTAAGACGAATGCTTGTAACGCCATCTATTGATACAATTCGTACTTCTGTTCTATACCTATAAAGGCATAACAGATAAATATGTGATTCATAGCTATCTATGGCCTTGCAAACACAATCAGTTTTGAAATGTCTTTTTATTGTAAGTGTCTGACCAACACTGATAATAAGCAATGCGTCGTACGCCAACCCTGTAATTGCTGCAGCAATCGAATTGGAAATAACTGTAATACCATGAGGTGGATCTTCTAATTTCAAGTGCCGTATATCTCCATTTTCAAAAGAAACCATTTTCAGTTCCATGTTACTGAAGTCTGAGACAAGTATCCTTCCATCCGGCATACATGCTATGCTGTTAATCTCACAGACTCGTATATCATCTGGGATGCGTATAATTTGCTCCTTAGACAAGACCAGTTGTGTTCTTGGTGGATGAGCATATGACTGATTGTTATAATGAGCTTCTTCAGATTCGCTTGTTCGACTTTTCGCCGAGTACTGTCTGTCATCTGGATTAATTACCTGTATTACGCTAGCTTCTTTGGTTGTCAGTGGCACTGTTGACACAACCTTTTCTGTGTCGCAGGAATCACATTCATCATAATCATTATCATCAGATTCTAGAACGTTTTTATCCGGCTCTAAATTATCATTGTCGGCAGCATCTTTAGGTGTTGTGTTGCTATTTGAATACAGTTTGCTCATTTCCTCTGTATGTTTTATCCATTGTTTCAGTCTATGTTCTTCCCCTCTGCTTTCATGGCTTTTTATTATCGATATCAATTTTGATTCATCTGGTCTTTTCTTAGATAAAATTGGCCTTTTCTTTTTAATTGGGACTGATTGCTTTTCTCGCTTTCTGTCATGTTTCTTTCTATATGTCTGATTTTGCTCTGAAAGTTTTGTTTTAGCTTCATACATAGCCGTATATGTTGTCCGTTTATTTCTGGTTTGTTCCGATATTGGAACTCTTGAAGTGCTTTTAGATTGTTCGTTTTTCTCATCAGTCACTCCATATGTATCGATTTGATTTAACCCAGATTTCGTGTTTGAACGATAGTCATTTCCTGAATACATACCTTGTTTTTTCAGACCATAAGCACTGTTAGCTCTATTGCACGTGTCTGTGCTTTCCGTCGCTGTTCTTTCAGGTGGCGCTGATTGTAGACGCAATATCCTAATTTCGCCTAGATCGTCACTTCCATCATTCGTCATATAGTATTCCGTTGTAAGACCATAGGTCTTCACCCGATGCTTTGGAGACATTCCTGTTACGTGCCCGGTAACGGGTTTACCAATAAAATTTACAGTTTTAGCTTCTGAAAGTGAAGTGTTTGCGTTGTTTTTATTTTGTTTTTCAGATTGTATTTCTTTTTCTTTCTCAGCATCATACTCTTCCTGCATCAACATGTCAAGTGTTTGAATTTCCATACCTTCATTGTTGTACTGATTGAAAATTTCCATCGTTGTGTCTGTCTCAAAAGGATGTAAAACGATATCTCCTATTACTCTTTTGTTAATGACATCACTTGTAATGACTCTAGATTTGGCACATGCATTCGTGTCTTCATTTTCGTTTATAAAACATTCCCTTACTTTATTTTCTATGTTATTATCTTTTATCTTGCCATTTCCCGTAGCTTGTTTAACCCCTGTTTTGTCTTCTGGTACGAATATTTCGCGCCAATCAAGTAGTCCTGCTATTTTATCCTTCGCATGTTTTAACATGTGTTCATTCTTTTTTATCGCTATGAAAGTGTATACTTCGCTGTCACTCTCCTTAGCATTTTTGATTTCAGCTAAACTTATTGAAATGTTTTCATATAGTTCATTACATTTTGTTTTTAGTCTGCCAATATTTTCCATTTTGACAGCTGCTTGATCCAGTTTTTTCTTTCTTTCAAATTGTCTTTTACTTTGTCGTTTTAATTTAAGACGAATTTCACATTCCTTAACCATTCCAGTGACCTTGACTTTAGCAATTTCGAATTCGTGTTCTAGAATTTCTACCATTCCACTCTTATATATATCATGCGCGACCTCATCAATAGGTTGAATAATGCACTTGTTATGCCTTGCATTCAAACAAAATTCACAGCAAAGGTCACCGTGACTGACGCAGAAATTTTCTATAATCATCTCCGGATGATTATTACATCTGTGAAGTTTTTCACTGACTTCATGTGAATATAATTTTGTTACTCTGACTGCACCTTTTCTTGCTGAATAAGTTTGTTTGGCATTTTTGTCAGTTGGTGCTCTAACAGTCCGTCCATTCCCGCTTATTTGTTCCTGATTCCAGCAATGTGATTCATGAGTGTCATCTAACCGTTTTGAATCCGTTGCAGACAAATATGTGGAATTAGAAGAAACTGGATCTTTGGCATACGGATATTCTATGTTGACTGGTGGTTTGTAGGAGGTATTTTCTTTTTTGACTGGCAGATCCTTACATCCGAACCGATTCTGGTCTGGTTTCTTAATATTTGCGTCCGGATCATTTAGGAAGCGGATATGCTGTTCAAATTTATTGTTTAATGCTTCATTTCCACACTTTAGACCATGGCCTTTAGCACATGTTAAGCATAAATATGATTGACATTTTGTGCAAAAATTATCTCCATCCTTAAAATACCCATTATTGTAACAGGGTATACAAAACCGTTCGTCCGTATACATTTTTGTACCAGGATTTAAAATTCAACTCGATTCAACACAAATAACTTCCAATACAGAATTTGATACATTTTATTATGATCGATTCAGTATCGGTGTAAAAATTCTTTATGATAATTTAAATAATAAATTTCCAGTAGGTATAGCTTCACATAATTTCAACGACTGGCGCTTTTAATCATTTTATATTTGTACTGCGTTAAACAAAGTGTTAAGCTAAAATATCTTAATATAACTAGTCTAGCGTTGAAAAGTGAACAATTAATCAAACCGACCGTACAAGATAAAATTGTTCATATTGTTTCAATATTGTCAATAAATCTCCTTTACAAAGTACGCTAGTGTATTGATTGCGAGCGTAATCGATACATGTAGAGCTAAAAAGTTGATAAGTTGATAATAAATTAGGCAGTTTTCAAATTTTGGTAATACCGCTATGTACACACGGCGATCTGTGCCTTTTCTTAAATAAGGAGTAAATACATGCGATTGAGTTGAATTTAAACATGTATACTTCCAGATTTATTTGAAAAATTAATCGTTTGGAAGATTTTTGAAAATATTGTAAGAGTTTTTTTTATTACATATAAATATTTACATAATGATGCGTTGCACATTTTGTATTCAGACTTAAATCACAAGACCTTCTCCACCATTATAAACGGTGTAAGAGCAGAACATTGTTATTAATAACATTTAAAGGAAATTTATGTTTAAATACATGTACGTCAGGTTATTATCAGCAATATTTTGTCTTTTTAAATCACGATCTTACTTTCATATAATTATGTTTTACATGTATAAACACACGCGAATTTAGTAGCTTGTGGTCTAAATGCTTGAAAGGGAAGTTTAAAAGGCGGAAATTCGAATGTCTAAAATAGATAACAGTTTATTAAATGGAAACTAAAATTATTTAGATACTAACTATATATAAAACTGACAAAATTTCGGAATAGCTTTGAAAAATAACGAAATTGATGTTCATTGATTACATTATTTTCGTATGACTGTTCTTGTTAAAGAAAATTATTGGAACAGAAAAAAATATGTTGACGTATAAAGTTCACGTAATGGTACCTACTTTTTCCATATTATAAACTGTAAAGATAGACTTAATAAAAGATCATACAAATGTAAATCAAAATAGCTACGTGTTGGTTAATGAATAAAACATTATTATAGACTTGACCATGGTATTTTCGTTTTTTAAATTCAGTTCGTATGTTCTGATTTTCATCGCTTCCGATAAAACCTCTTCTAGCTTCACACGCACTCACACAACAGCAATAATTAAGATAATAATAATAATAATAATAATAATAATAATAATAATAATAATAATAATAATAACAACAGAAATAATAATTATAATAATAATGATAATAATTTTTATAATAATAATAATAATAATAATAATAATAATAATAATAAAAATATTAATAATAATAATAATAATAATAATAATAATAATAACACAAAAATAATCATTATAATAATAATGATAATAAAAAAATAATTATAATATATTTTTTTAATTTTTCATAATAATAATAATAATTATAAAAGTAATAATAATAATAATAATAATAATAACAATAATAATAAATTAAAAATAGAAAAAATAATTATAATAATAATAATAATAATAACAACAATAATAATCATTATTATCACAATAATAATATTAATAATAAAAGTAATAATAATAATAATAATAATAATTATAAAAATAATAATAATTATATTGATAGTAATAATGATGATAATAATAATAATAATAATAATGAGCCAAAATCAAAACCATGACGTTTGAGGATTAAAGATTGACCTCTGCAGTGCGGTCAAAACACTTTAAAATTCAATCACTTCTCAGCAGCTGTAATATGTACACATTTGTACAATGAAGATATCTTAATTTTTATAGGTTTACTCAAGACCTTTGAAGATAATGAAACACACAGTGAACAACTACCATTGGCTCCCAGTGACAAGTGCAATATCGAAGCGCCAAAAGATCATTGTGCTCTTGCGGGTAAATACGTCAAGTTAAACTATATTGAATGACTACATAGAAATATTTATTATATACTTATAAATGAAATTTAGAGAAATATTTATGAAATAAAAAAGGTATTTTCATTCATGTTTACTGAAAAATTCATTTTCACTGCAGTGAAATATATTATCCGTTTTTTCACTTGCCGGACTACTTTCTTTTACTTCTTTGTCAGTACACGAAATTGAATGGGAAGTGTAGCAAATTGTTATGTCAAAAAATAAACAAATGTATGTAATAAACAGGAGATTCATGTTTTTTTTTTATTATAAATACATGCTTTCCCCCTCCCCCCTTTCCTCTTGTGGCATAGAAATTATGATATTTCCGACGTGGCTACCACCACTCATGAAATATTTATTTTCATACCATTCGATGAAAATAAATCATGTATTTGTCATGTATTTAGAGAAAAACTTGAATATCCTCTATATAGGAGTATAAATTTAAATTAGAAATAAGAGTATCCAGAGATAATTCGCTGATCTAAAATGTGTTAGTTTTTATAAGAATATTTATTTACAACAAAACGTAGCTTTCTTGAAACTATGAGCATGTCTACCTTGTTAAAACAGGTATGTGCTTGAAACTCTGAAAAACTTTTAACAGGAATTATTTGGAAACATCGACAGAGATGTTAACGCTTTAAATCGTTGTTCTTTAAAAGAATATTTCATAAAAAGAGTTTATAACACTAAATGTTTTGATCGACAATGTATTGAATGTATATAATGGTATCATATTCAGATGTGCAAGAATTTGTCCTAATAATTTAAAAGAATAAGAAATAGATAACGCCTAATCAACCAATAAAATATTTTCCAAAGCGTTTAAATTAACAGGAGATAAACGGGTAAATGTTGTACCAAGTCTTGGCTGGAGTCACACGTGCTTTATGAGAGAACACAACAGAATTGCACGAGAATTTGCTCGTATAAACCCTGACTGGGATGACGAGACAATATTCAAACAAACCAGGCGCATAATGGCAGCCACAATCCAGGTATATCTTATAACCCAGCTGATATCGAATGTTATTTATTTTTTAAATTTAGAATTTGTTTTCAGTCGTTGATATTTAATGACACTCGTTTTTTAATAATCTATCAAAATGAAAAAATTAAGGATAACGTATAAGATATATTAAGGTAGTACAACCCTAAAGGACACTATAAGGAACTGTAAAATTGACAACATAGGATAGTTATATGCCTTAAATCTCACCTGTATGCAAAATTTAAACAAAATTTACCGTGTGGTTTATGAGTTATGGACATTTTTATGAACAAAAACCTTGCCATTAGAAGAGACTTTTTCAGAAATGAGGGAACTCTAAATAAATTATAATATCATAATTATGAAAAATGTTTTCCTATTGCTCATTGTAAAGAAACAATTAATGACATTCAGGTAACAAATTAAATGAGCAAATTGATTGTTTCTAAACGAAATATTTTTAATATGTATAAAAATGTAACCCTACCCCACCCACTTTAAACACTTATTTGACCATTTCCCTATGTAAAAAGCCTTTTTTTTTTCAAATATCCTTGAAATTTACCACAATGAGGGGCTATTTTCAAAGTTTGCCTAAATTTTCTTAAATGTATATTGGTTGGTCTTGCAAAATATAAAATACTTTTACCGTGTAGTTTTCATTTAATTATTTAATTAAGCTTGGAAAATATCTGGTATCATATTTGCTATTAAAATGGGCATTATTTAGCAAAAAAATACCTACAATAATTATATAATTAAAATTAAACACTTTTTTCTTCCATTAGGGATCTAAGAGATTCATAAAAAATGTTAAAAAGAAAAAAAAAGAGAAAAAAAAAGTTGCCCCTTCTGGGGTTTGAACCCACGTCCCCTCAGTTTCTTTACACTTGACAGTGATTCTAGCCTATTTGAATACTCTTCAAAGTGGAGATAGTGCATTAGGGGTGTACTACCTTAAGAGAAACTTGCAGGTTAAAGTTTTGTCACAGTAGGTTTTTATTAAAAGAAATTGTAAGACACTGCGATAAAAAAAAACGTATAACGTATAAGCAACTTGAAAAATAATATTTGATAAACATTATTTTGAAAATGTTTAATTTCCAAAGCTCTTGCTCCGGAAAGAAAGCACAATTTACTATTCGGAAAAAAAATAGTTCTGTCAATATGTATAATATACTTTTATGTATCATACGATCATCCTCAACATTATAAACAACAACATCGTCCTCGTTACTATTATACGTTTAATGATTATGTTTAGATAATAAACTACAACGAATATCTCCCTGCAATATTAAACCAAGATACTATGGACAAATATAAGCTGAATCTGTTTAAGAAGTTTGCACATCGGAATCACTACAGATCAAAAGTCAACCCGACAATCTTTAACTCATTTGCAGTGGCAGCATTCAGGTACTTGTTTAACAATTGATCACGTTCTGTTGCATGATGCGACATATCATATACCTCTAACTGATCATCAAAAGTTACTAGTCATTCAATATATCAATCAATCAATATATCAAAGTCAATGTTATATTCTATTCTTCAAGCACTTTGCTATGTAATCTATGTAGTATAATATTGATTTCTAACAAAGAGAACTAATGCCAGTATACAAGTATTTCATCCGAATTGTAATAAAATGTAGCTGTTACATGTATTTATACATACAAAGTCTGATATTGAACGTGTTCTACATAGAAAGTAATGTTTGTTAGAAAACTATATAATGCATTCCATACATCTAATTGTAGTATTTTTGTGATGAATTTGCACACGCGCTTCCTTCTTTTATGTTTGACGACAAACATCATTATTTTAGTCAAGGTTTGATATATTCGGTATATGTATTATCAAACACTCTACTGATAAAAACATACATCTTTTCAAAGTCTTTTTAATAAACGTAATATTTGTGACAGGTTCGGACACTCACAAATAGCGGATTATCAGGCTTTTATGAGCAAACAGTATCAGTTTACGGAGAAGAATCCGATAGAGACAACATACCATCGGCAACACATGATTCAGTATAATGACGGGGCAGGGCTTGATGGGATCGCTAGATGGCTCGTAGATGATCCAACACCTCTTGCTGACGGGTATTTCTTATATTTTATCATTTGTCTACTAACGATATCAATTTTTAATCATTTAACTCTATATTCTATAATAGTGTTCCTGTTTATGTAATAAAATATCAATGAAGAGTAAATATCTGCAAAGGTATAAGGGGAATCTGCAACAAATAATAATATCTTTAAAACTTTATCGATAAGAGTAAATTACCTCATTCGGCTGTCGTCACCGTTTATCATAAAGAAGATATTTGTTTCACCGCGTTGGAAGATATGCCGAGACATTGCAAATTGCCAGCAGCAATATTCATCGACTCTCATTAATTCTAATTTGAATGCTTCCATTAAGGTTTTTCCCTTGAAGCTGATTGGTCTCACATATATTCTGCTAAAGAATGAGCCACTGTATGAAGTGAGACGGCAGCAAGCAAATTGTTCTTTATCTTCCATTGCAATGAATGTTAATTTAAAAGTACTGCTACCAGACTCCTATAAATAAAGTTTGCGTTGGTCTAAAATTATACGGTCGGATAGCAGACAAAGCTTTTCAGTGGAATTCTACAAATTAGATAATTTCTTGGCAAATTTTGCCGTGCGTGTTGTGGCATTTATGCAGTTCACAAATTTAATCCCACTTTCCATGAACATATTTAACAGCATGCAGTTGTCTGAAATATAAGATTGTTAATGTGTGTAAATAGTGCTTTATAAAAAAATATAGTTAAGAATACCAATGTAGCTGTCCGACGGGTATATCTAGTAACGCAGGAATGTTTAATTAACGCAAAAGTATCTATGCAAAGACATGGCCAAAACGTGTAACACGGTAAGTTAACGAACCAAACTGTTTTATAGTAAATCAAATTATTAATAGAAAAAATACATAAGCGCATACGGCTGCTACGACATTATATTTAAACCAGCATAACAAATACATGTACTGCCTGGAATATGTTTATTTTTCTAAGTTTATTCGTGAGAATGACGTCCTGGCTACCGTTTTGAAGGAAACTTGTTTCTACTTTTTATGAAGTAACCGGCGTTTTTCGATGCATCATTCACAAATTCCACGTAACCTCGTACAAATGTTCTCAGTCACATTTTTTCTGTAATGTAAGTGTATACGACACCAGTAGTTTTGAAAATGTATAAGCTCACCGAGTATCAAAAATTGTAAAGTAGTATATATGTAGTCAGGTCGTAATTCTCACGAATGATCTTGAAAAAATAAACTGTCATGGAGATATCTTTGATCAGGTATAAAATATTATGTCTCAGCAAACGCATTCGCCAATATTTTAAATTCAGTTTGAAATAATTAACTGTGGTGCTCGTTTTGACCATAGCATTACTTTTGCACAATTCCTGGTTACTGTATATTACGGTGCTGTCTCAAATCGATCGGAGTATAAATTAGATAAAATACGATAGAATTAGAAATAAAAGATTAATATAAGTTGTATGTTTAAACCTGTGTGTATGTGTTAAAAGTCTCAATCAAAACATGCGACAAGTACATACCAAGTTCAGCTTGCATTTTCGTGCCGTCTGTCCATGATCTGCACTGTACACGCAGCCTGTACATTTTTTGACATGTTCTCTTTAATGATGAATAGTTTTGTTAAGATTGAAGGTCGGATAACTCCATTTGATATTATTTAATATATTTAGTAAATATGTGTTAGGTTTCAGACACACACGCTCGAGATAAAGTGATAAACATTTAGAAACAAAACACGAAATAGAAAACAGAAATAAATATCACAAATGCTACGATAAATACTTATGCAGGCGTCACACTGTCCCGAATTTGCCATCAGATGGACACACGAATAAGGAAATCTTCAAATTCGGATCTGATCGTAATAACATCGTGCCATTCGTGAGGGCATCTTTTGCCATCGTATGATCCCCGGCTGAATATTACAAGCTCCGGCAGCAAACTTCGTAAGCGGTTTCCAAAATCTTGGCATGCCAAAAAATTGCACGAAGACATTGCGAAGGTTCATTTTCGTGTTGGAATTCGTATGTCAATTTTGCCATTCGTAAAGGCCGTCGTAAAGCCATCTTGTCAAATCGTGTAGTCTTTGTCGTTTCTTTTCGTGTGATCATCGGTGCAATCTGACATTTTTAGGCCTCAAGAAGACAATTTACGAGGTAAACACGAAGATTCCCGATTGTCTTAATGAAGGGAACACGACTACGTGAAGCCCCCGCAATACCGTCGTGTCACAATCGTATTTTGGTACGAAGTCATCGAGATGGGACCACGATGAGGACGAAGAAAGCAATTTTTAGTGGCTCAAGCGTTGGCATGTTTATCATAGTGGACATATAAACGGTTAGACCATCTTCCGCATCTGACACTCTTGCACATTCTCCTTCAGAGACATCAAAAACTTCCATTATTTGCAATTAATTTACAATTATTTTCAGTTTATTTCCTGCAGAATTACATGCTTTGATATGAGTCAACCGAGAAAAAATAAGGCAGCAGCATTGCTACTTCTTAGACACTTAGAAAAACATTATGAGGCCCACAGGCCCACTTTGGGGGAGGTATGAAAAAGTTTTATCAAATAATGATAAACAAGATCAACAAGGAAAGGCAACGTTCAATGAACGCAACACCCCACACAACCAAGCAACAAGAACCAAGTTAAACACAAAAGTACCCTCCAGAAAAACGGACAGGGCGGCAAGGTAGGGCACGATAGGCTTATCACTTAAATGATACATAAGACGAAATAATGGTTAAACGACAAGGAAATCAAAGAAAAACAAATCAATGATTGATATTATTAAATAAATAAAACTAAGGGGCGCAAAGGGGAAAAATACTTAAACCAAAGAAGAAAAACAACAAGGGATGCCGACAAAAGTGTCCAAGCTAAAACAGAATGAAATAACCAAAATATGAAAAACAAGATCAACAAGGAAAGGCGGCGTTCCCAATTGAAACGCAACCCCCATAATGAACCCAGCAACAAGAACCAATTTGGCAAAGGAGCCCAAAGGCGGGACCCCCAAACATAAAAAGGAAACAGGGAACGACACGTTAATTCAATAAATGATAAATAATTAAAGACATGCATCCTGAGGAACAAAGAGGGGCGCCGCCTTGGACCGATCAGCAGCAAATAGGCACTGCTGGGGGAGTTTAAAAACCGGTTAAATAGTGGCACTAAACCTCACTCTTAGCCCACCAAATGTTCCCCTATAAACGAGACAGTGTAAATAAAATGAATCCCCGCCAAGTAAAATTTTTAATAAACAGTTGTTATTGTTTCAAAAGGTAAAATAAGTAAAACACCGAGATGTTTTGTAGATACATATAAAAGGAATACCCATATGAAAACCATAACAAAAAGTATTCAATAATTTTTTAAAGGAAAGACAGAGTAACAAAAAATCACCTAACAAAGGCCCGACGAAGCAAGGCAGAAGACGAACATTAAGGCAAATTCAGTCCCAAAGGGGAATAAGAACTGTCTATCATAGAGTATCCCACTTGGTTCCGTCAGATGTAATCAAAAAAGAGGAAAAGGACCAATTGTTTAAAGTGTTCAACACTTAGCATGCGTAATAATTCTAAAAAATATAGTCAAAACCTCTTTTGGTTTTAAACGTTTAATAAATTTTAGTTAAAGGCAACAATGACCAAAGATCTTGCGAAGTTTGCAAATAACATCTCCATTAAAATCTTTTTTTGAATCATTACTTTTAAATTTTTTGAGAAATTAAATCATAGTTAAATTGTTAAATTTTTGTAAAATATCTTACGTAATTTATAATAGCGGTAGCCCTGTTTGGAGAAGCCCTTGCTAGTAATGAAAAATTATTGGCTTTGTTAAAAACCTTCAACGTTTGCTAAAAGCTCTAGCGAAATCTAATTTATTGAGAATACCATATACCCCGTCAGGATGTTGCATGAAGTTTCGTCTCCAATCTAAATGTTGGATAGTTTAAATAAACCAAATCAAAAGTATCATTTTATCATAAGATTTTTTGTGTGGATAGAAATTGTTTTTTTGATACTAATATGAAGAACCAAAATAAAAATCAAACGTAGTTGAAAATTGCTCCCAATAATATCTGCAAACTGAGAAATTTGCCGCGGTTGGTCGTTGGTTGTATACCACCCGGAGGTGAAGGTACTTGACGCCCTTCGTAACCACGGTACGAAAAAGGCAATCGTAACTCAAAAAACGACGTCGGTACCTTATCCTGTGCCTTTCGGCAGTGTCCTGCTGGTAAACTACCAATGTACAAATTGGCCATCTTTGAGGTGACTTTCGTGTGTGTATCGGATGTGATTATCGCGTGAAACCTTCGGTTGGAATCGGTGTGGGCTCGGAATGCGAATCGCGTGACCCTTCTGTAGGAATTGTACTTGTTTCGGGTCGACCAATTTCGGGGCTATCTTCGCACAAAATTAAAAATTTCATATTCGTATGCCCATCTGGTGTCAATTTCGGGACAGTGTGACGCCTGCATTATGGTTTCTTAAATTCATTAACTGACATCTTCTCTTTCTTTTAGATATATTTTATTGTTGCAGTATTTTCGGGGACGGTGTTAGAAATCTTTTATTCAAGGACAAAAAAGGAATCAGTTTAGATCTACCGGCACTTAATATACAACGTGGTCGAGATCATGGGATACCCGGATATAACCACTGGAGAATACATTGTCGCCTCGGTAAGATTACAATTCTTCGTACTAGTATAATATAAACAATATCGTATTATAAAGGATAAACATAAGTAAATTTGATAAAAAAAACAACAAAAAAACAACAAAAAACAGACATATATATGTCATATACAACAAAGCAATGACTGGTAATACCGTCCAAGGATTCATTATTTTTATAATATGACTCAGTGCGCAACGTTAAAACAGCTTTAGGCATTGACGTTCCCGTACTTTTATTATCAAAACATAATAGCACTGGCACGTGGAAGCTTAAGCAATGATTTCTATACAAAATACGAAAATTACCGATATAGACGTATACTGTAATGCATTTTTTTTTCAAATGCATTAAAAGAAGATCTCGTCCTTACTAGGTCACTAACCCCGGGGTCTCGGTCTTTGCAGATGTTAAGTTAACAAAATAGCTAACTTTCTTGCAAATTGATTTTATCAATTAACAAAACATTGTAATAATTTCTATTTAAGACAAAGCTAACATGACATACGATGGATCGTTTATATTACCTGACCATAACGAAGACCAAAGACTCAAGCTACAAAACGTCTATAGGTAAAGTTATCATTTCATCATTTTAAGGTGAGCGGTGGCCTAGTGGTTAAGGTGTCTGCCTCTCAACCCAGGGAACAATGGTTCGAGCCCATATTTGGCTACCAACATGTTTTTTCATACGACAGCAGTACTGGTTGGTCCCAGGAAGCGGCCTCAAAAGTGATTAATATCAGTTGCAAGAAATTGTTTCGCAATCTAGCTTAAATAAATTTATTTTTAAAACCAAAAATTTTCTTTTAAAATTTTAATGGTGTACCAAAATTATTTTTAAAGGAAACTAAAAAATTTAAAACCTAGGGCCAAATCGCCCAAAAAGGGTTAATAAATGGAATATAAAACACCCCTAAAAAAATTTTTTTATATTTTTTGTTTTTTCAAAAGCTACTATACTAAGTCTATGTCACTTGACAGTCATAACAGTGGCATATAAGGCTAAGAAATAAAGCCAAAGGTAAGGCAAGAATGGATGTATTTTTACCAAGTCAAAAGCTTTTAAATATGAAGAATGAACGCTCCGCTGATATAGATAATGATATACAGCCTATCGCAGAAGAGTACGATCTAAAAATGTTGTCATACACAAACTGGTATAATTTTCTTATTCATACTTTGTTTTTGTCAGTGGTAAGTAGGTCGAGTTGTAAATCAAAAGATCTTAAGCACATTAACAAACCTATTCTTTGAATGGTATGAACCATTTCTCATACATCATTGATACTTATGTTGTCATTATACATGTATATTTATTCTTAGTTCTAACACTCATATTAATATATTTCCCTGCCTCTTACAGTCACGTCGATGACATAGATTTGTTCGCCGGCGCAATGACAGAAACTTTACTGCCTGACAGCTCTGTAGGACCAACATTTGCTTGTTTGTTAGGAAAACAATTTAAAAGGTTGAGATTAGGTGACAGGTACTGGCACGAGACACAAGATCCAGTCATAAGGTTTACAAAAGGTAACTGCGCTTAAGTTTAATTTCTAAGCCGTTCAACCATATAAACATGTACATCGCGATCGTACGAACAAAAGTTTTTTACCATGGGTATGTAGTTTTAACATCTACCGGAGAATTTGTTTTCAATGAATGCTTTCTACTTCTACCTTTAAAAATGCATTTTTTTCATATAAGTACTCTGTTCTACATGATATATTATAATTTTATAATTTCATTTTATTAAATTTAAAAACAAAGATACTGTTTTATTTAAAACCCACATTCCTCCATGTATGTGTTATTATGTATTATATAGATATATAAGAGTACAGTATATGTTATAATTAGGTCAGCTAGCGGAGCTACGTAACATATCGTTGGCACGTGTGTTGTGTGATAACTTTGATGTTAGCCAAGTTCAGCCTGATGTATTCCGTGTACCCGGGGCGTGAGTAGAAATATATATCTATTGAGTTTAGTATCAATACACTACTTAATGTTTTATCATCTTACTAAAAAATTGTTAAGCAGCACGCCTCCAGATTCATGTTAATTTTTTCTTGGAAATGTATTTGAAAGTAAAATATTGTGAGGTGAACATATAAAGTAATTTGCATATATAATAGCAATCGGCACTTACAATCCAAGAAAATTATCAAAAGTGGTCCACTTATGCAAAACAGCCCTTACTGCGTTAGTAACGCAGTAGAAATATGGTGATAAAATACTGCAAAATCAGTCTTAAACCGCATGTAACATGAAAAATATAACTTGGATCTTCAAATTTTTTTACCTTTCTTAAGATTTTAGTACATTTTTCTCAATATTTATTTTCTTGGAATATTTTGTCTCATCTGATGACGTGCAGCTTTAATCTTTTATGGCTTGTTTTTGAAACATTATTATCACATATAAATGTTGTTTTTTTCAATATGTGACATTCATTGTTTTTACATCATGTCGTTTGCAAGGTGAAAGTAGGCACTTACACAAAATACATACCGCAGTGCTAACATAAGAACAAAAGTAGCTGTTAGAATGTGTTAAATTTCCTACTAATAGTATATATTTTTGTAAACTGTATTATCCCGAGCCACTTTGCAAGGGTTATATATCGAGCAAACGTATTTTAAAGACTTTTTTATGTGTAACGAAATAATATACTGTAATATGGCGTTTTTGATTGAAATAAAATATTCATTAAGTATTTTCTGCAGCAATTATGTACAAAGAAAAGCAAATTTTTAAGTAAAATAACTATTCAGATTAAAATCAAACGAGCAGTAAAGTATGCTTCGTCGCATGATGATACTGATACAACTATGAAAAAGGAAGCATATACTTACTAACATTATTGAGTACTTTTATAACAATGTGCTTAGTATAGAGATTAACTCGAAATTAATATTCGAAAGCCGCTTGTGAATCCGTAAAATACCAGAATATGACTTAACAGTATTCATTATTTCATCAATTTGCAACTGGAACATTTCCTATCTAAATCGTTTTCCTATTTGCTTGTGTGATTTTTTCGTGTTGAAATTGGTAGTAGATAGAGCGGTGATAGGGATGATTGAATTTAGAAAATATGGCACTTGCGAATAGTTGCCCATGACGTGCTTCCCTACATCGGTACGGCACCGAGCAGTATATTGAGAGGATCTAAAGTTTGCTTTGATCTACGCACAGAGTACATTATATAGGAGAGAGGCGGATAGATGAGCATCGATAGGCGAGCGAGGAGATAAGCTTGCCACACACACTGGATGAGAATAGCTTAGTGTAGGAGATGACGCGAGCACGACTGTCTTTGAGTCTACATAGAATGTGAATGTTTACACGGTGATATTTAATATAAAGAAAACACGCTCGCTCACACTCGCTCTCTCTCAGGTGGTATCGCTCACTCTCACTCTACCAGAACACGTCACACACCCCACTCTTCTCGCGCATAATAAATTGGAAAATAATCTTGGAAATTATGTTTTGAACAAAATAAATGAATTAAAAATAAAAAACAACCCTTCCCTCCCAGAAAACTCTGCATGTGTTAATTCTGTTCATGAGGATGAACGAAAAGTTAGTGCAACATATCTAACGCACCCCTAGCACAAGCTTATGCGGTATTCAGTCCTTAACAATAAAGGTATCAGAATCAAAGTATACTTCGGTTTATTGTATGTTAGTTGGTAAGTACCGACATCATCATAATGTGATATCAAACATTATGCTACACAGATTTGTGTTACCAAAAAAAAAAAAAATACAGTTTATTTCTATGTGGATAACATTCATTGACAATTTTGCTAATATATTAACTAAGTAGGTAATCCTGTCTCTTTCTTTCTTATTTTATTTAGCAAGTCATATTAATGTTAAAATATGCAGATGTCGTTTGATTTAATAGAAAAGTATACATTAAATAATATTATTAAAAATAGTACTGCAAAAAGTAATCTAGTGATACCTGATGAATTATTGCTCTTTGTATGAAAGACCTGATTTAACCTTTTATCAAAACATAAGCATTCTTATTCGCTCAAAAAACAAAACAAAAACAAAACAAACTTATTGCGACATCGTTGTAAAGAACAGTTAAAAGTACAGGAAATGAATATCTTATGTAATACAGAACCTAACAACAGCCACCACTTTACAACAGCCAGTTTAAGATTGTCCGGATGCTGTCAGTTGTAAGGTGGTTGCACTATACATGGAAAAGCATAAGAGTTGATAATTTTATACCCGGTTATGTAAACATTGTTTTGCGATGATTTAGAAATGATAAATACAAAGCTTTTGCGTTATATAATGTCAACAAAGCACATGAAACATAGAAGATAAAACAAATTTATCACTACAACAAATACGATTTCCTTATCTTACATAAAATAGCGGAAGCATACATACTTTAATTATTTCTCGTGACATTTTTATTACAATTATATTATACAATCGGAGACAATTTGTCCAGATAGAGATAATATCATATTTTATTATTGTTTTCTATCAATATGACGACCTTTAGTGTAATAGACTGGGTTTTATTACAATAACAGTTTGTCTGCCTGTGCCCACATTGATAACATTGCAATCGGGATCTTCTGGACTTATCTATATAGTTTTTTTATTTTGTATAAAGAGACACAAAAAAACAACGTATGAATTCATGGCGGAAGACGGTTTACTAGCTCACTATTTAAGACAAGAAGGCCACAATGATCCTTACATCGCTCACCTGGTTATTAAGGCTTTTACTGATAGAAAAATTAATATTCACTATATAAATACGAAGCAGATATAAAGTCTTAATTTTAAACTGATATCACAATGTTTATATCTCTATCTGTAATAATACACATTCCTAGGGGAAATCAATATTTACTATAGAAGGTACTGGTTGCTATACAAAATAAATGGTTGCTATTAATGTAAGTGGTAGCTATGGAAGTCAATGTTAGATTCACTGATTGCTGTTGAAAGTCAATGGTTGCTAAAGAAGTCATCAGTTGATAAACAAAGAAGACAATGTTTGCTTTGGAAAGTCTATAGTTGCTTAGTAGAGTAAGTGTTTCCTATTTAAGACATTGGTTGCTGGTCATATAGGGCTACCGAAATTGACTGGGTGCTATTAAAAGCCAATAATTGATTTCGGGAGACATTAGTTGCTTCGAAGTACACATATTGCTAAGTAAAGTCAATGGTTTTTATAAAAGTCATTGGATACTATAGAATGTCAATGGTTGCCGTGGAAGTCACTAGTTGTTATGGAAAGCCGATGAATGGTATGAAAGTCACTGTTTGTTATGGAAATCACCAATTGCTATGGATAGTCAAAATTTGCTATCGAATTCGTTGGATGTTATGGAATGTAGAAGAATGCTATGAAAGTCACTGGTTACTCAGAGAATACAGTGGTTTCTATCGAAAATACTGTTTGCTATTAAAGTCACTTGTGGCTATATTAAGTCAATGGTTGTAATGGAAGTCCCTGACTGCTATGGAAGTCACCGGTTGTCACTGGTTTCTAAGAAAAGTAAAATGTTGCTTTTTAGAATTTACACTTTTCTTACAGGAAATAAACAAACTGCCGAAAATATGCAAAACGCTACTGAATAAGCTTGAACATCATTCGAACAATAATATCTAAGCTTCGTAGGTTTGCACATATTCTGTTTTCTTCCATTGAAACTGAATGGTTGTTATTCCCCAAAGTTGTGAGAGTCACATTGATATACTGCCAATCGTTAAACGACACTTTATATCAGTCATCAACTTAGATTTGTAAATTCCTGTTGGAATTGATTTTTTCCAGGCTGATAAATTGGTCTCGCATATTTTGAATTAATGGATGAGGTGCTTTTTTACAGGAAGAATACGCCAATAGTATGCAATGTTATATGTAATTCTAATGAATGCTATGAAAGAGATTACTTTTTATTTGCTTAAAATTGAATTATTTTGCCTGAACTTATGATGGAAAAGTTTCGTAATAACATTATACTTTAGCAGTTCAAAGTATAATGATAATGCATTAGTAGAGTTGTGTAACCACGTGTAAGAAATTGTAAGCAAGTATTGCATTTTTTCCGAAAAATCTTAACAAAATTCTCTCAAGGAAATGTCAATTCTTTTTGTCGAGCCTGCTTGCGGTGAGCTCGACATAGTTGTATAGATTGCGGTTAGGTGTATGTGCTTATGTGCGTCCGTTCGTCCGGATTATGCTTGTCCGGGGCATAACTCTGTTATTAGTTGACAAATTCAAATGACTTAGCACAAATGTTCACAATAATGAAATGGCGAATCGCTCGCAAGAACCGTGTTGCTTGATCGAAGATCAAGGTCATAGTTAAAGGTCAAATGCAATTTAATGATCTCAGACAGCTTGTCCGCGCCATAACTCTGCCTCTTGCTGGTGGAATGTCGAATAACCTGGCACAAATGTTCAGCATCATAAGATGGTGTGTCGCGCGCAAGAACCGTGTGACTAGGTCAAAGGACAAGATCTTACTTTAAGGTTAAATACAGAAAAAAAATGTCTAAAAAAAGGTTGTTTGCACCATAACCTTATAGATAGCTGATGAAATTTCAAATCACCTTTCACAAATGTTTAACATCATGAGGCGGCCTGTCGCCATCAAGAATCGTATGACTAACTCCAAGCTCAAGGTCATACTTCACGGTCTGCTGGCTTGACATGTTGCTTTTGGTCATCTAGTTTTATATATAGATTAACATTTTATTAACATATTCATTTCATTTGAATTCAATTAGACTATAAGTTAATGTGAGAACATAACGGGTTATAGGTGATAAGTATGTTATTTCTCCCATTTAAATAAACCACGATTGCAAAATAACAAAACGAACTCGAAAACTCACGGATCATATGCCTTGATATGTCATATTCATATTGCAATTTAATATAACATTGATTATGGGACAGTGTATG